AGGCCTTATCCTGTGTCCTATCCGTTTAATTTCTTTCTCGTTCTCTTTTCCTGTAATTTCCCCTTTTTACTCCGTTTCCGCCAGAGGGGTGAAAGTGCTCCACCCCCCATTAACACACATGATCACATGACCTTGCTCCACAACCTCAGATATACAGCGATGCAATGGTTCTTACCACAATGTGTGAGTTTATGAGGGGTACCTGAGCGCACAGTGTTAGACTTGGATGCTAGATCTAGAATTAATATTTGCCATGTCACTTGTACACATTTTTTTGGAGGGGAGTGGGGAGTTGGCTGGGCTATGGTGTGCTATTAAAATTGAACACAGTACTTGCTCTAGCTATTGACCCATTACCTACATCAGGTACCACCCCAAACCACCTGACTGTCTTCCTAGTGCTGCCCAATCTGCCGATACATGCTTCAGCCTTTAGTAGTGATTTCAACCAGTTAATACAGTTTACAGAATTGACTACAAGTTGTGCCGGTTGGCGAACCGGATGGAATCCGGTAGGCATTTGGGAAGTATTATGAACAATAAGAACGTTCTTTCATGCATGTTCCAATGTAATAAAACTACATGGTATGTAAGTGTACCTCCCAAATGAATATCATTTGCAGAATCTGTTCATGATCTGATTTAATATTATCATAAAAAAAATTGTTTTTTAATGAAATCAATAATTTCCTTAATTCAGAAAATGAAATCACGTAATTATATCCTTTATCGGAAGTATTACAGCTGTTAGAATTTCATGGAATAAAAAAACTTCATACACGAAATGATCTGGCTGTTTCATAAGGCTCTGTTATCAGTGCATGGAAATAGTGTCGACTCGAAACAAAATCTTTGTTTTCTCCCGTTGTATCACTCCCTGTTTTGCACACCCCGCGGGGTATGTTAAAGTTCCATGTTACATTTTGGCCGGTGCCACTTGCAAACCGGATCACGGGGCAGGATGCGAAACAAACCCGGCGAAGTCTCTGCCCAGCGGGATCTTAGCAAGAAACATTGAATTATGCGTATTTGCTTCCGGTGTCATTCGAAACTCATTTGCAGTTGGGCAAACAAAGCCATCATGAATGAAAAGCTAATGTGCTTTGGAGTGTTCAGTTTTATTAAGCACATGTTAAGAAATGTTTGTCTTCACCTGATAACACCACAATTCTGGTAACACCGCCAACAACTCGCGCTGCTGCCCAGCGCGTTGGTTGGCGCGTACTTGTCGTCGATCTATCCAGCTAGCTAGCCAGCGGGCTTGGCTCGTGATCGTAACTTTTTTTGGTAACAGCGCCCTCTTCGGCGTAAGTCCATTCTACATAAGTGTCAAGCGCCCAAGCTGAGACAGGTGGTAAATTTACTCCAAACTAAATTCCCGGCTGTGGTTTTATTTGTACGATTAGTGATGTGTGAACGGGGGTGGGGGGTTGACATAAAGTTCTCTCAATGAAGTATTTACTACGTGTGACTGGATCCAACAAAATGAGTCTTATAACCCATGTTGGCACCTAGATGAAAACAGACAATAACGGGTGGAAAATGCACTAGTAGGCTGAGTTCGGGTGGCTTGTTCTCGTATGTTCACGAACAGCTCGATATGCTGTTCTAGTGGGTCGGCCGCTCGAACGCCGGGAACGTACAACCGGTTAAACAGGAACATTCATTTCTGTGTTATGAAGAATAGTTAACGTTACTTTTGCAAAGTTTCCTATTATCTCTGGCTTTGTAAGCCATATTTTTTGCCATGTTTGCAGCTGTTCAAAAATCAAAATCTCACGAGTTTTTCTGTGTGTTCTTGTAAAACCCTGACAGAGAGGTAGTGTGTGATCCTGTTCCGAGTACAGTGTTCTTGAGTGCTGTTCCCACCGTTCGAGTGGGAGAACAGGAAATTTGTGTTAAGTACAGGCCGCCCTAACTCGACCTTACAGTACATGTATGTGTCGCTCCTAGATGACATATATCAAAGTTCTTTGGGGTGTCATTCACCCACTGCCTTTGAACAGTCACATTTAGTTGGACAATTTGAGTTTGACAAGATCGATTTTTGAGTGTTTTGTTAAACTCAATACAGCCATTCCTCCATGATACAGCTAATGGGTTATAAACTCTACCGAATTACCAAAAAGTAACCATTTCGAATTTATAGCACTTTTTTTCACAAGGGGAATGTCATGCAATGAATTAAAAAAGCCGAATTTATTCCAAGGGAGTCATTTATCAACGTCAACTGGTTATTAATTTCGAAAGCAAACTGAGACTGAAAAGTTGGCACAGTTTCAAGGAAGTCTAGTTATGCCATAGAGTAGATATAGTGTCTCATTTTGTCGAAAATCCGTGGGCGCGGCATAGTACATGTATGCCTATTCCATTCATTGTTTTGGTCGAAATGTTAGGGTGAGCACGAATTCCATTGATAATCTAAAAGGCCATTTGAGCAATGATAATGACTAAATTCTGATGGTTTGTGTTTTAATTTTTTTCGAAAAATGTTAAGATTAAAGTAGCTACAATCCAAAAATTGCGTGTTTCCATTTTGGTGTTGGGGAGGCGTTTCCTATTAGCGTGCCTCCCTACTATTAAATGATCGAGTCTGACTTTCACGCGGGATCGAAGACCACGTGGTACCTATTGCACCAGCCAATCTTTGTTTACAAACTGACCACGCACATTTTCTCCATTCATAAATTCCTCTCAAGGCGCACAAAGAATGTGGGTGTAACTGGTTCGAACCGGCTTTTTTTTGCACACGTACCGCGGCCACGTCTATGATCATAGTAACGTGCCGGCATTTTTGCGCTCGTGTACACACGGAGCACATGTTACTAATGCCATTACGATTAAAACTTTCGTTCATTTCGCGTTCAGTCATCCGTAGTTCACTTTTGTCTTTTATTGTCTTGAACAGCGTGGCGACTTTTTACAGATTTGACTGAAAGAAAGAACTGATTTTGAGTAAGATTTACTCAGAACACGCCAATTTTTAGAGCTATTGGGTTGGTAGGTTGTTTTCACTAACGTGAGTTAGGCCTACTGTAGGAAAATGGAGAAACGCAAGTCAGAGAAAAATGGCACGAAGCCAGGGGAAGGAAAAGACGACGCAGTTTCCAGTGCTGGTTCAAGCGATGTTGTGGTCCTTCGGCGTGAAATTGGGCTCTGGGGATGCGTCTCGGTCTGTGTAGGCATCATGATCGGCTCCGGCATCTTTATCTCACCCAAGGGAATCCTGCAAAACACAGGGACGGTGGGCATGGCGCTCATCGTCTGGGTCCTCACTGGGTTGATGTCCGGACTTGGAGCCCTCTGCTTCGCTGAGCTGGGCACCACATTCACCAAGTCGGGTGGCGAGTACGCCTTCCTGTTGGAGGCTTTTGGCCCACTGGCAGCCTTCCTGAGACTTTGGGCGAACATCATCGCCATCGGCACCGGTACGATCGCCGTTTTAGCAATCACCTTCGCTAATTACGCGCTAGCTGCTTTCTTCGGTGACTGCCAGGATGTGCCGATGACCGCCGTCCGTCTTGTGGCGGCATTGATCCTGTGTAAGTATTCACTGAAACATCATTTTGCTCGAGTGCTGTGTCCCTTTGTGCCTATCCCCTGGCTCAGAATAAATAAAGAGAAAATACATTTTTTTTGGAAAGTACATGAAAGTTGTGCTTCTGCTGGATGGAGCTGATGACTTATTCCCCTCAAGGAAAGATTTCCGTGTACGCACAACACTTGATGCCCCCTTTGCAAAAACCTATGATGCTTGTCTGAAAAACTTGTTTGTTTTGGCCTAGGCTTAGTCTTAATGCTTCGGAGTTTTCTCACCTAAACTTCACTCTTTAGGACATGCCATGCTCCGATATACAACTTCCAAGTAATTGTTGTCCGCCCATAGACTTATTGGACGCTGTACGTGATCACATGTGGGCCTAGCTCCGCTGAGTGGAGCGTTAGTATTCCTCTTTTTATGATTTTGGACGGGATCGTCATACTGTAATCACGATTCCGTCCAAAATCATAAAAGGAGAATTACTAACGCAGTAGAGCTAGTGTGGTCCTACAGTACAATTATGATTTGTACCGGTATACTGGAACCAGGAAGGCCGGCTGAATTCTTTTATTTACAGTAATTATTTATCATGATCAGGCGTGACACGAATGCCTACAGCAGTTATTTACTGGGTACTGACAGAGCTGCAAGTCACAACTCAGTAGTTGTGACTTGCAGTTCTGTTACTTTTTTGCTGGGGTCTCTACACCCAGTTAGATTATTTTAACTGTTGCTATTATTTTGAAAATTGTTGGGTTTATACATTGTTCATTTTTAATGGAATTATCACCATGGAATAAGAAATTGTTGATTAAAAAAAAGAAAGAAAATGATTCACTAGGCCCAACAACAGAACTACTTCCAGCTATAGGAGTAAGAAAATTGGTAACTTTCCTACCGGATGCAGGGAACTTGCTAGAATAATTTGTGTGAATTTGCTTAGCATGCTTATTTCTCAACAAATCCCATTTCATTGGTCTTTGTAAATTACCTCTGGTTCTGAGCCGATTTTTTTTTTGCACCATGCCAATAAGCTAAGCAATATGCTAAGTGATGCCTTAGAATGGACCCTGTTTACTCCACAAGACGGGGCATCATTTGAACCTATTATGATAGTTGTTTTGCGTGACTGGTTGATCGTGCTGTGCTGTCAACTATCTTGGAGGAAACCTTGGACTTTGCTGCTTCTTTTTTTTTCAAAACAATTTTCCAAGATTGAATTAGACAGAAAAGGCGATTGGTTAGTGGGAAAAGAATAAGTTCAACCGTGGTTCAACAGATCATGTCACAGGATCAACCCATCACGCCCCCAACATGTATGTAGCACAGTGTACCAAATTGGTGATCTTCGCCCAGCAAGCACCTGTTAGCATGTACATGTACGTCACGTTCAGGGACTTACTTCATCACCTGACCCACATTAGCTTAGTTTGATTTAAAAACGGCTCAACTTTGCTATCTTGAACCAGTTAAACTGTTCTAAATGAGGTTGGGTTGCTGCTGCTCTGGGTTTGTGAGGTCAGGGGCAGATGGGCAATTGGTCAGGTTCCCTGCTGATGAAGCCAATTTTATTTTAGGAGTGGTCTGAGGAATGGATTGTGTTTGACATCAAGCTCAGTCTGACCACAGATTCATAGATTTGATATTTAGTACCCTGGAGAGTTTCAGGGGTGATTGCATTGTTCATTGTTGTGGGTTTTTTGCTGGGGTTAGGTTGGGCTTGAAAAAAAGTTCATGGGATCCACACTAGTTGTTCCTGTGTAGATGCATTGGAATGTGTCCCTGATTGGCACTTGTTTCATGAGCTTACGCAGAGTGTAGTTGAGCTTTGGCTGTCCAACAAGAAGTGCTGTTATTCCGCCCATATTTGCAAGTCATGCACTGCCCGTAGACCTCACATGATCTCACTGACTCAAGGTTTAACAAACCCTATACCGACCTCTGAACTATTGAATTGAATCCTGTGTTGTTTTTAGTCTTCATGATTGATCAATCCACCCTTCAACCTATGCCCACTGCCCTGCAAAATTTGATTACAATGGATTGCAATTTGGTAATCAGAACGGTTTTGCAGATTGCACCCCTGTGAACTTTCAGCATGTAACACAGGTTTTCAGTCACCCCACAGCACTGCTTTGAAAGGGTTTATATCGGATTTGAAGTTTTCAATGTGGAAAGGAGTGGTCTGTCCCATATGGTTTTGAATTAGATCCTGTTGAATTGGATCCAGGTAGAGTTGCCAGGACAAAAAAACATGGTGTTTATTCTGGTCTGATTGTACTTGAATTGAAACTAGGGGAGGTCCTAAATATTATCAAAGAGCTTGAAGATTTTTGTTGGAACTCAGCTATTGGGAAACAAATGCAGGGATTTAAACAAGTTCCCCTAAAAAGCTTAAATGTTGCCTCCTGCAAAGTGAAAAAATATGTTGTGAGCTTTCTTTAAAAAGATTTGTGAAAATTCCGCAAAGTGGAGGGGAATTTCAGGGGACTGTCAAGGGTCGTTGAGTTTTCGATCTTAGGGAAGGGGATCCAATCGAGCCCTGGGGGAGCTTTGCGGGTGACTGCCGCACTTAAGGAGCCTTTTGAAATGGCATTACCGGTAGGTCTGTGATGAATATCCGAATGTTTAAATATTTTCCGAATGTGAATATTCGAATGCGGAATTCATGAAAAGGAAGCAATAATTTTCTTTTGTTTTAAATGAGAAAAATCACACTATGGAAGCTTGTTTCAAGCAAATTCAAATGAACAGAAATAGGATTCAAATAGTAAATTATACATTGAAAATCTGAAAGGAATAGAAATTCTCAATGGGCAAAAAGTATTGTTTATCTGTTGAATCTTGCTAAATCTTGGTTGGTTATAGTTCTAGAAGTGAGAGGCTATAAAGCAATAGCTTTTATGGCCCCTCCCCCCATCCTCAACATTTCCCAATTTTTTAGATGAATACTTGAGAAACAACTGCAACATACATGGAGGAAGAAATCAGACTTTTCATGAGATTTAAAGATTTTGAAGTTTACTTTAATGTAGCTGCCTGCTGATTATTGGTGTGGCATGGCATGTGATGTCATTCTTGGGCAAAATGGCGGCCAGTGGGTCCTCAGGTTTATATTTCAGCTGAACTAAACGTGTATGCTCTCCAAGCAATCTCATGATTCTTTGTTTCCCTGGTGGAAGTAACCATCGTGGCTTTATAGTTTGATTGTTATATTGCTTAACGAGACGTTACGTGATCATAGTAAGCCTTACTCAATCCATAGGAAAGTGTGATGTAGTATACATGTAGTTTGTTCTGTACTCCGTGTGCCCAAAACATGAGTAGTTTATAGATCTTTCAGGTACTTCAGAATTTAGATTTGAATTTGAAACCAGATAAGAGTGTAGTCCATCACCATTGCTTAGGACAGTGTCCTTTCTCTATGGTTGAGGTCATCATCCAGTCTGTGCTGGGTTGGCCTGATTGTACAATGTATATGTGTGTACCGGTGCCTGCTGACTGCTACATGTGAAGTCGTGGGGAAGTGTTCAATAGTGCTGTTCATGCATGCATGATAAAAGACCAGTGCACATGTAGGGATAGGCAACACTTTGTATCATTGACAATATCCTGGGTGGGTGTTTGCACTGCTATGTAACAGATTTCCGATTACATGTACATGTATGGATACCACATCACTACATGTACATGTACCTCCCTTGGTCCTTTCTTTACCAAAAGTGTTGGCTGTCTGACAAGGGTTTTGTGTCTCAAAAGACCCTTTTGTACTTCCTACAACTAGCCCACAATTAGCACTCTGATTCTTCGGGAGTGCACCATTATAGATCCGTTCTTATGTAACATCTTGTGAAATTCAAAAGGGCAGCTTAGCATTCCTTGGATATGACCTCTGTTTAAGAGTTCCTCCTGGACCCTCCCACCACCAATGCAGAACGGGAAGGTCTTGGACTTTTGCCAAACAATTGCTTCCCGCCAAGTCTGTTGATCAAAAAAGGAATGTGGCCAAACCTGAACAGTAATCTGATCAAGTTCCGTCTAGACGAGGCAATTTTACTCTTTTCAAATTTTGAGACGCCTAGCTGACTTATTAGCAGTAGTTAACACCTTTTTCAGGCTGCGAGCACAGTGTAGCAATCTTGCTGTAAGTACGCTGTAGGGTACACTCTACTAAATGGGTAGATTTCTACGTGTGAGCTCACTAATACCGGTATTTTGTGATCCCATAGGGATTTTACAATAAGAGGTGCCATCATCGGGAGGGATCATGGAAATTTTTTCATAAATCACCAATTTCGGACTTTTGGCATCCAACCCGGCGTATTTTGTACTCAAAAACCTCCAGCCCGTGGGCCTATTTTGCATAGAGGCAGTCAGCTAGAGTACGTGTACTGTACATTGAGAGCTGAGTCCCTATGGTTTAATCTGAAAAAGACGCTCTCCTAAAATTCAGATCTACAAGATGTAGACCTTGTATACATGTAGATTGATAGTTCCATGTGCAGCCCTCCCCCCCAAAAAACAAACTTTTGTTCAAAACAAATTCAACAAAAGTGCCAATAAGTTAGTTTCATTTTTTAGTGCTGTCCTTGAACTTGCAAAGGTTTAGGCTTTCACTGGACATTTGCCACGCCAGATTGGTTTTCATCAAAAGTAGGGCAAACATTCTCTGGGCCAATTCCTCCTCACAGGTCCAACATGTCGAAATTCATCTTTCTCCTTCCTCTTCTCTGATGTAGTTGGAAAAAGCTTGTTTTTGCGATTACAAATAAAAGAGAGGTGTTCAGTACATGTATGCTGCATTCCTAGATAAGTTTGTGTCAGTCACACGATCATGAGATAACAAATGCCATATATAGGTCTACAAGGGCGAGATTACACGTAGAAAGATGTAAGGCAAACCAGCCAACACTTTGATCATTGATTTTGTGAAGATAACATGTTTGTACCACGATAAAGCCCTCCAGAGGTGGTAATAGCTACCCAGTACATGTACTGCTTAACTAAGCAGTTAAAAGGCTGTAAAAACTAACAATAAAAAGTTTTGTCCTCTTTTTTTTAAACTGTGTTTTAAATTTAAAAAAATATTCTTGACTTGGGTTTACATATAGTTATGTTGTGTGTCACCCAAATTCGCTGTCAGTGTTCATAAAATTTATTAGAAATGAGTCAATTTAATAGCATTCATGATCGCTTAGCTAGCACATTGAGGCTTGTGTAAGCATTCATATTTTGCTATTGAACCATTATTAACTGAGCCATTGTAGGCGCCTGTGCAGACACTGTTCAGTATGCTGTGATGGCTTGACCTGTTTTGATTAAGTGCTCCAGTTCGATTTCCAAATATGGGCTGTTTCAAACTAGACAGGTTTCATGTTCCCAGATTTTTGGGGTCTGTTTTATTCAAATTGTCACTTTCTTTCTCTCTTTCTTTGTGATGTAGTTGTGATTTTCTACCTGAACAGCGTCAGCGTGACGTGGACCACGAGAGTTCAAGTCTTTCTGACCATCGCTAAGGTCATCGGTCTAACTATCATCATCATCACCGGCATTGTGCTTCTCTTCCAAGGTACAAAGCCTTTATTTATTTTGTCCAGTAAATGGCTTTGTTGGTCGTCTGGGTGAAAGAAGATGCAAAGTTGCATTATTATAGCACTCAAGTCAGTATCACAATTTGAGAGAATTTGCCGACAGTATGAGTTGACCTAGGGTCAGAAACTAATGACTTATTCCTTGAATTCAAATGTATCACCTAGTGACCCTTTTATCCTCATCACCTGACCCTGGATAACAGGTGTTACGTTGACTTAACTGAGCAACATTCGTTCTACTCAGTCCTACTTCTTTAACGTGGTGAGTAGCGTCCCCAGTATAGTTAGTGGTGTACCGATACTCCTCTGAACATGTTAGTGCGAGATAACATAAACAGCTGCGCAAAAAGAGAACACATTCGAGGAACCAAAATGCTGATGCAAGAATTCTGGCGGTGACATCAACGGAGTGGAAGGAATCTGTATGTGCGTCCCTGGGGATGGTAGCTGTAGCCAGGTTGAGGTTGGGGGAAACACCGAATAAATCCCCCCCACCCTCCAATGCGTGCAAGCCGAATGCTGGCACTTTGCCAAGAACATGTCTAGCAGTCGAGGCAAAACAGAACCACTGAGAGAAAAGAGTACTACAGTCATATATCCGGAAATGGAAATGTAACCGACTAACCCATAAGCCATGTTCATCGGCTAATTGATTTTAATTCGAATGTGGTAAGATATCCCGGGGAATAACTTACATGTTGCTGGGGCCAGTATCTTGTAAAAATGCTCTCAGTTTCCCCGAGAGCTAAACCTCAACCCAGTCGGCAGCAGTCGGGGGTTCAAATGAAATGCCAAGCGCACAGTGTTTTGAAGCTGTCTGGGAGGGAGACATTTGGTGAATGGCTGTGGGGTCTGGATGTAGGCCACATCGAGTGCTGGCGGAAGCATGATAGATGGGTTTGGTTGGGATTCAAAGTGTTCAGTTCCAGAGACATCACTTTGACCTTTCTTTGGCCATCCTAGTAAGTGTGGAGAATTCCTTCATAAATATTACCCATCCTCTGATTTCAAGACAAAGAGACAAGTTCCAGCGTACATATTAAATGCTGACTGAAATAAGGGATCGTGACATGTGGAACATCACATGTGCACGATATTTAGTCTATTATTAAAGTACATGTTTAAATTTGAATCTAATATTGTCTGATTTATTACTGTTTGATTTTTTTTTTATTTCAGCACCCATGTGTGATCCATTTTTTTTCAAATACATGTACATATTCGTTTATACTTTCCTCACTTAAACCTACGGTTCCAGAAGTAAATGAAAAAATGGAACTACAATGAGTCAGCAGTGTTTGAAGTAAACTTGAAAGTTCTTGTTTGGGTAAAGGATTACATGATTGCATCAGTAGCCCTTGGATGATGGTTAGGGTGTATTGGCATGTTAAAAGCATCCGGTGTAAATAAATGATGCTGTAGAGCGGGCGAGTATTGATTGAGGCATCTCATCTCATCAAATTCTGTTGGTCAGAGTTGCAGATCATTGGGGGGGGGGAGAACAGTAGAACAGGTGAAGCGCTTGTTGTGACATATTTGTTGCAACCAAATTCATCGGAGATTGAATCTCTACATCTTCATAACATTACGGATGATGACATTTTTTACTTGGAAAAGAAACAATCTTCATTCCAAACAAACTCAATAAGACCTTGTTTGAAGTAAGGAGATGCATTACGATACTAATTCTGTGAATAAAAACCTTGCAAGATGGGGTGCTTGGATTTGGCAGAGTATGGGTCGTTAAGGTTAAAAAGTTCAGAATTTCTTATTTAAAGTCGCCAGACTAAATTTGGGTTAGGTTGAAAGTGCATGTTCATGCACTGCAACTTTATGTGCGAGTTCGGTTAACTTTTTTTTGAAAAAGCAAGGTTGCCAAAGAAAAAAGAGTGCTGTGAAGGAAAAGAATTTTGAACTTTTCAAGAGGGGATGATTGATGGTCAGTGCACAATCAGGTTTGTAGAATCTTTTGTTTTTCATTGGACAATGGTTTCCTGAGTAAAAAAAAAAAGCTTCATCGCAAGTTGTCCTATTCCACGCAGCTCCTAAAAAATGGACTGGGCATGACATTTATTTCATTGGGAGCTGAAACTTTCGCCTCTGCTTAGAAAATCATTGGCCCAGGAAGCATGCTTTTCTAAAATGGTGATGTCAGCAAAAAGAGGACCCCTCTAGTCAGGGTTGTCAAGAGGGGAGTTCAAGCACAGGTCAAACCCGCAGGGCTGGGGGTGAGGCCTCGAAGGTTGAGAGGGAAATTGAAGGATAGGATTTAGGAAACCCACCTCCTTGTTCACTTCTTACATGTACATGTATGTATCTGAAAGTCCTATGATTCCTTGTGACTGCGTCTGTGTTCCAGGCATGGAGGAAGGAACTCGTGATAGGGGAAAGGATGTTTGTGTGACAGTCGTCTGGCCAGACGAGAAATCACACGGTTGGGTGAATGACCCATGAACTGACCAAACAACTCTAAATGACAAAGCAGTTTCTTGAGGGAAAGCATGTGATTCTGATGGAATGCGTAATCAATGGCAGTCAGTGTTGACTTTATCTCTACATGCATGACATGCATTATTGTTATCAAGTGAGAAGTGTAGTGATGAGCCCCCCCAATAGTTAAAAAACTTACACTTTTGACTTGTGCCTCAATTGTTAATTCACTTACGTACGTTTATACGTGACAGACTTACTGAAGAAAGGTTTGAACACTGCCCCAATTTTTGCCACGAAAAATCAAAGCTTTCATTTACAGTAATTTGGATTTTTTAGGGGGGCCTTTTAACATTTGTTGATACTTGTGTACGTGTCACTTTTTTGTGGGTTGAATGTTTGTATGAATGTATTGGATGACTGCTGTTAGACGATTTCCAAGAATTAACAAAAATTACCTCCTTGACCCAAAGTTTATCTCGAAACGGTTTTGGGGTACCCACTGCTACGTCAGACTGAACCAACCAGCTGACCGCGGCAAGCTTGGTAGTCGAGTGGTTAAGACGTCTGCACTAGCAAGCAGGAGGTTGTGGGTTCAAGTCCTCCAGTACCCGAGTAAACTTGTGAATGTTTTTACAAGCTCTCGGACAAGCACTGGTTATACAGTGTTAATTAACATACGTGTACACCGGTGTAGGGGCAAAACCATAATTAAGATTTCCAAAAACATATGGTCACAAGTATTAACCATGCTGCTATTAATGTGATGACGCCATTCTGTCTGCTGCTTTATTAATAAACGTTAATCAGTACAAATGACACCAGATTTGGATCAACTGATAGTTTGCTTCCGGTATTGGTCTCCAAAGAGAGAACAAGTGGTGCGTCATTGGCCATGTGACTTGTTAATTAATAACAAGCAGGTCAAAGTGAGGGGAACAAAACGTGTGTTTGTTTGGGTGTGACGTCCAGCTTGTTGGTGCTGAAATGTCATTGACCGGTAGAGTGAGGTGGGTCCACCTTGGTCTTTTTTATCAGTTGTTTCCATGGTTACTGATACATGTATTTACCCTGCCTGCTGCAGCTGTTTTATATTAATATACAGTGCACATGTACATCCGTTTTCATTTGATTTCTGTCTGTATTAATTTTGAAGCAAGTGTTGTTAATTTGCACTCAAATTAAAGACAAGCTAAAACAGATTTTTGGGCTGAGATTTGTCAGGATTTTTGTCTGCAGGACTTTCATGATTTCAGGATTTGTCAAAGAATTTTTATAAAAATCTGGAAAATCCTGTGTAAAAATGAAGGTGTACGAAGTGTAAGTTTCATGTTGTTGAATCAGCATGTCCCAGTAACTTGTGATTAGAAACTTTTACAGCCTTAAAACTTCTAAACTCTCTAATGGTTCATAATATTTGTGTGGATAATTGGTTTTATTAAAATTGATGGTAGTCCATTCACACCATGTTAGCAAGTAACCATATGGCATTTAGGATACCATGGGTAAAAGGATAATGCAATTCAATCTACTTCAGACTTTGCACCTGATGGTAGTTAAATGCTTGTCTTTAGTTATCAGTAAATACTTCCGGCTTTTTAGACCCTCCTGACAGGTTTTAGGCAAAGCTAGCCGACATAATCATTCATGTATGATGTGTGCTGTCTGCATATTATTATGGACACACCACGGAGTGTGCTGCAGAGTTTGTTTACAATATGTGAGTAATGCCAGCAGATGTTAAAAAAAGTTTAAAGGGTTATTTCAAAGGGTGATCAAATTCCTTTACCAGACATATTGGTGATAATGTTTCTGGTTGTAACCAGAAAATTTATTTCATTTTTAGATCGTAGAATTTTGTGTAGTTTTCTTTTTCTGTCCAAGAAGTTTCATTTACATGTGTCGTCATTTTTGTTCTTTAGTATATTTTTTTATTGGGGGAGGTGGAGGTATTTCAAATATAGGGAGCGTTTGGTATTTCATTCAGTTAGGTTAAGAATTTATATTGAATGAAGCATTAAGATTGATTATTGGATTTGAGGAGTGGCTTGCAAAACTTCCCCCTTTGTGATCTGATATCAAAGAACCTTGCTTCTTTCGTTTGCAGGAAAAACCGAGCATCTTGAGAATGCATTTGCTGGTTCAGAAAACACCGATGCCACCAAGATACCATTGGCGTTCTATTCTGGCCTTTTTGCGTATGCTGGATGGTAAGATTACGCCTGTCCTAAAGCTCGGTTTGAAATATTTTTTTTGGACTCAAGCCAGCAAAGTGAATTTGAGATCATTCCAGGAAAATGGATCAAAAGGAGAACATGAAACATCCGGGGGGGGGGAAGCTGTTAAGCTTGGATCAAATTCAGGGTGGAAGTCACCTGTGGGAAGTAGAGACGGAAATTCTTTCGTTGGAAAACAAATAAATATTACATTTGTGAAGACAAAAGAAACAACAAAAACATTGAACTTTGCCAAAGTCCATTTATTTTATAAGCCAAATCTGCCAGACTGCTAGATGTGGCTCAATTACTGTTGATGCTTATGACTTTCAATTGAAATGGCAATTTACCACTTTGTGGAACAATTCTTTTGATTCAAGTTAAAAATTCTATTAATTTTGATAATGAACTGTACTTGTTATCAGTGATATCATTATAAAATAGGATATATTTTTGGTTCCTGTCTTTCCACTCGTCACTGGTGATGTTCAAAATAGTGCACCTTCAGCAGTATTATTTGCCTTGGGATTAGAGACTGGAAAATTGACTAGAATTTGGCCTCGTTGCTTCACAGGCAGATGTTGGCGCAGGTGACGGAGGAGATCCAGCACCCTGCAAGGTGAGTCTTGCAAAGGGGGAGCTGCGCCAAGCCAACATTCCGCAGCGTCTGGCACAAACGCCGTCTTGGTCGAGACCCAAGTTTTGACTGTTGGCTTGCTGCCATCGTAATTGCTTGCCAGTTGGACACCCCCAGGGTGTTCGATGCTCTGGAAAGCATGCAAATTCAATGGGGAAGGAAAACAAGAAATCGGTTAAAAGGTTGTTTCCTTGTTTTGGGGTCTATTCAAGTTTTTGGCAAATGTTCAAGGGTGCAAACATCTGCCACTGTCATTTTGGGCCATGAACATTGTTCCTTAAGAGTCTGTAACCATGTGACACTTAGAGTGTACTGCTCATGCTCAAGAAATGCCTTTCTGACCAGTTCTCTTCAGTTGAGCCATACTATTTACGTGATTCTGGAGGTTGGCCTGGCATTTTGTCACGCAAACCTCTGATTCAGTTTTTCCGCTCAGTGTCAGCAACGCCTCTGCACCTGTTTGTTACTGGACTTTTCCCAGGTTTTCTCACCAGTAAAAGTGCTGCCAAGGGACTTGACCTCAGACGTCCTCCAGAATACTAAAACAAAGACAAAAAAAAAAAGGAAATGGGCACAGCCAGCCATTGTCAATTGGCAGCCTGTCATTTCCCATCTAAACCCCCCCCAATCCTTGTGGTCCATCTTGTTGAAAATTTTGCCTTTCTTTTCCAGACAAATAGCCTGGAGGCAAAACTGTAAGGAAATGAGCAGGTTATGCAGACTTGTTCATATCAGAGAAAGTTGAGCTGACTTCATTGTGGAATGTCTACTATGACAATGGAACCAATGGTTCATCTGTGACTATTTGAAAAAATAATAAGAGAGCAAGAAATGGTTATGATGAATGCGGTCCTGGTTGCTTTTTTTTTAATGACGAGAAGGGGGAGGGCTGCCAAGTGCCAAACCGTTGAACCGTTGATCAGATGAAAAGGGGAAGCTAATTTCTTTTCCTGCCAGTGACTCTTTTGTACACGTACGTAACAACAGCACACACTATGGCTGCAGAAAATCTGGGTATATTGTGCCAGGATGTGACTTTTGAACTGCTGAAATTTTGGTTGCATGCAATGAAGTGTAGACTTCACATTGCGTGCGTTTAGTCACGGATCAACTGCAGTAAGGTGGAAAAATTGTTGGTTATACCAGAAGTATTTGGGCGTTCTAGGCAATTTTTCAATAAGCCTTTTGCGAGTTAACTTTGACCCAAATCTGGTGCACTGGGTTTTTTAAATTCACGTGAACATAACAACTTGAATTCTCCTTACTAAAACCACTGTTGCTATACCTCGTGATTCAGGGCAAGCTTTTGCTTAGTAACATAAGAGACACCTTGCAACAATACACCGTTCTCAATGGATAAGAAGGACTCAAAGGAACCAGTCCATTCCAGAGATGGTGGTCACTTTGCAAAGCTTGCCCCAAATCACGAGGTATAGCAACAGTGTCTTTAGTCTGGGGAATTCAAATCGTTATGTTTATGTACAGTCAGATAACTCAGTGCACCAGATTTTATTCAAATTTTACTCGCAAATGGCTTATTCAGTTGTCATGAACAGGGAACAGAGGATTTGGTTGATTTTTGTGGGAAAGGTTCTTCAAAGGAAGCTTTTATATTGGAGATGTTTTACTTATTCCTAGTAGGCCATATGGATCTGATATGTTTCGTTGATATATAACCAATAATTTTTTTTATCTGAATATATATATTCAAAATTACTGATAGTATTGGTTTTGGATGCTGTGGAATTGTATCAGTCAATCTGTTCTGCTAAGAATTTCTTAAAGTCTGATGCGGCAAGTGTGTGGATTGCTGATGCAATCAACCGCCCACGTGCTGAACGCAGACAGTTTGGGTTCGTTCAAATAGACGCACGCCTCTTGGGAAATTTGTCATCACAACATCTGTGATGAGTGCCACGTGCAAAAGGGTTTCTCTTCCTTTCAGTTCAGGTTCAGATCTGTGGTAATAATTTTGCTTCTCCAAAAAGGGAGGACCTCATAACAGACTCTTTAGGGGGTACTGACTGTAGTTTGAAAACCAGACCTACTGGTGAGAATAGCAGCTCTGGTAAACGTGGAGATATGAGCCATTTTCTCCTCAGAGGAATTTCAAAGTGAGAATAAGCCCCCTCAAAAGCCATCCACAGGTTGTTCACTCTAATTCCGTGTTCATTCCACAACAAAGTTGGCCCTGAAAGTGGGTTACAGAATGTGTCCTCAAATTAACTACTGTCCGAAATCCATATCCAAACAGCCACAGCTAGTACAATCTTTGAACCATATGGTACATGGTAGACAAAGCCTGACAAGTTTCTTATGATTACAGCTGTTACACAGATCATGTACATGTACATGATGCAGTGTACATGTACATGTACATGTAACTGTTTTAGGACACCATGGAGTGGCCCAGTGTACATGTACATGTACATGTAACTGCTTCAGGACATCATGGAGTGGCCCTATACTGTGAAGCCTGCTGGACTGGGTGCATGTACAGTACATGTACATATGTGTGTGCATCACCTTGGCTTGACCCCGCTGGCTGGCTGGTTGGCTGGCAGTATGTGGGCCAGCGTTGTTTTGATGATGCAATCACACCTGAGAGCTGCATGGCTGTTGGTGCTACATTTAGGGCTTGTTGAGCATGGCATTATGGAACCACATCGATTAACTGTATATCCGCAGCTGCTTTGGATTCAATTGTTGAAATCTGAACAAAAATGAGAGGCTGAAAATGTGGCATTGCAGTTGTTGGTTTTTTTCGTACATGTATGTGTTTTGTTTTGTCTTTTGATTGGAGATTGTGGAATATGGGGTATTTTAAACTTAAAGGGGGAATTGAATGGTACATGTTTGACAGTTTTATCCAAAATACATGTAATGTGAATTCTCTGTGTAGATGAAAATATTCTGTTGATTTATAAACAGGAATCTTTTCCAATGAAAACCAAACAGTTTTATTATCGTTATTCGGTGCTTTAAAATATTATACAGCTTTCAGCAGAAATGAGATTAATGTTCACAACATTCATTGGGACTTCATTTTGGATTATGGTGAAAAACAAGGATTAGCCTTTGGGAAATAATTCAACTTACATCGTCAGCTTTCAGATCAAAGATTTAAGAATCCAAAGAGATATTTCAAGTGAAAGGCTACCTTTTTTCATCAGTTTCATGAATGGACAAATTCACCGGGCCTTGTCTACCTCTCCTGAGGCATACTAACTGAAAGAGGAAAAAGATTTCTGTGCTGGGTTTTGTCATTTCAAATATTTCCGTGACAGCGTGACATGGCCCAACCCCTTCCCCCTCTTGTGAACGCTTTTAGTGCTCGTAAATGCGGTGGAAAGAAAAAATTGGCTGACCCTGAAATGTGCAGGCTGTACCATATTGACAGGTTGGCGCTACAGATGGTGTAGCATCGTGCATGTATGGGGCCGGCCTTGCTGGAATTGGTCTGACGTACCTGTATGAACTTGGCCAAGGTTTATTTGGAAATCCATTGTGATTCTGTGTAGAGAGATCACAGAATATCGTGTTCACCCCGACTTCCATTGTGTGGGCATGATAAAGTGGGCGTGATACCAGTTTATAGTCAGAGATGGAACAACTGATTGGCCGTGTCCTGTTCCAAAAACCAGTTCAGACCCTTTGGATGAATTTTTGCCTTGCCGTAACCATAAAAGGCTGGTGGAGTGGACTGAACTCATTTACTGTAGCCAGAAGTGGGTCAAATAACTCGCATTTTTTCTGCATTATCTTACTGATCTCAGAAATGCCTTTTTCCCTTTCAAAAAACCTGTCAGGTTTTCTTTGGTTTAATGCATGTTTTTCTTCATTTTAAAAATTTACCTGAAATCTGTGACCATGATATTTTGATGCATCGATGATGTACAAGTCAAACTTGATATATATTTAATGTTAGGCTCCAGTGCTCGGCTTGCTTCAACATTAGTACAAGTATAAATAATTAATACATATAGGTCCCTCCTGATACACAGTATTTTGGCATGAGTGTAGCTGTTTCAGTTTTCTGGTTAGGAACAGTTTCCCTTGTTTATAAAAGAGAAACTCTCTCTTCTGCCCCTGCGATGTTTTCTGTGTAAAAAGGAAAATGAGATTTTGTTTGCAGTTTGTCCCGAGATGAGAGAGGAACTTAACTGATTCTGGGTTTTTTTTTTTTGTAGATTTCATTAGTCCATATTTGGCATGAAAAATTTGTGGAATACTGAACAATCGTATGAAAATTTATTTTTGTGTGTGTAACCAGCTTAAATCTACGTCACTGGGATGAGCTTTTTTGCTGTTTGTAGGCTATGTTGGAAGTTGTGCCATATATCAATTTTGAAATTTTCTGCAGTGTCACGCATCGCTGTTTCACTGTTGTACTGTAGTTGCCCTGTGTTGTCTGCAGAAATTAAATGGCACATATGGTAAATTGATTTTTATTTGCCTGGCTCTGAAATGACAAGGCATTGCCAAGGTCCTCTGTATTTTCATGTCGATGACCTATATATGTCACTCACAGCTACTGGGTTCGTGGCCTTGGCTATGAAGGATTTATTATTAAATTATGAAAATTCTCGCATGTCTTTTTTTTTCCTATGCCTCAGAAACCTGCCCTTGGGTGTTATGCTGTCCGTGGCCATTGTCATGGTAGTTTACCTACTGACTAACGTCGCGTACTTCACCGTCGTCTCCCCACAAGAGCTTCTCATCTCCAAGGCTGTTGCCGTGGTAAGTTAGAGCGGGAGGGAAATCCCCCAGAAGACTTCTTCAGCGCCCTTGAGTCGCAACACGGAGTAGCGAGAAAGGACGGTAGCCCTCTTTGAATGCCAGCCCACTCTAAGAACCTTTTCTTTATTTTCTCATGTCGTTTGTCTCCGCAGTATGTGCTTATTCCTAACCAGCCCATGACAGATTTCTGTAGCCTTTTGGGGAAAAGGATCGGGTAGCTGGGTGGGGCGCATACAGTCACCTCACTCGTGTCTGCTCCTCTCCTTCCGTGTTGTGCTTCACGACCACTGATGCCAACTACTACAGTGTCATTTTCTCGGATTGAAGCCCAGAAGTCAAGAACATTTGACTGCTGATTCCAGGCCGCGGCAAAATCCACGGAGCTCAATTGACTGAGGGCGAACCGACGCTTTCCCCATCAAACTTTCTACTGTATACCCCCCTCGAGGGGGGGCATCGTCCTGCCTAGGAATGGCATCCCAGATTATTAGCCCACCTTTGCCGAGAAGTTGTGGTTTCAAGGAACAGTTGGATGTACCGAGGTCGAAGTGGACCCCCCCCCAGAGTTGTGTGCGGACGTTCTCAACCCTCGTAACTACACATACCTAATCTCCTATGGCAGTTTATAGCATGGTCTTAATCCCCTTCTCTTTTTGCCATTAGGGGATGGTAAGTGTCCGAGGTCAAACCCTGCGGCCGTGTCTCCAGTAACTTTTTTGCTCAATTTTGTTTGCTCCCTGTGTAACGAAAAATGTGAAGTCAGTGAACATGTGTAAGGCAAACGGCGTAGAAACTAGAAAAAAAAAATGCTTTCATCTGAATGAGTGCTCTGCTAATATATATTGAGCAGCATCCACTTAAAACATTTTGTGGTGAGAATCTGTTTCCAAGAGTGGACTGTATGTACATGTATGTCGTTGAGTGCATGCATACATGTAGTGAGGCCGAATAGCAGCTGTCTGCCTGGTAATTTGCATGATATCTTCACGCCATATGTTACTTATTTTTTGCTGGTACTGGAAGTCCATTATTTACGAGGCAAGGACTTGAGCAACACAATGCCATTGGATCTTTAATACCCGGTATATTTTCACTTTAAGGATCTGTGCAAATGATCCGAAGCAAGTTATGTGTAAGCTAAGGTTTTTGTCTTTCTTTTTTGCAGTTTACGTTTGTTGTTTCCTTTGGTTGAAGAATGGCTAAAGTCCAGTCGGCTAAAGTCCGGTCTGCAAAAGTGGACGTGAACACGCATTTGTGACGTCATGGCAAGCATTTCTTCGGCACATTGATAAACACGTTTCAGTTGAAACAGATTTTCACCGCGGATGTTTTGTGGTTCCAACTTTGTGTTTGCGTTTATTCTCACGCAAAGGTTGAACCGGACTTTGGCCCGTTTCTGTAGAAGGCCCTCATTCCATGCGCAAGAATGAAGGCTTTTAAACCAGACATGAAGACACAACTGTAATTGATGACAATATGCCATATTTTTCCGCCTTGTTTTTTTGTAGACGTTTGGTGAGCGGATGTATGGATCAATGTTATTCATTATTCCCCTCTCTGTTGTTCTGTCCTGCGCCGGATCTATCAATGGCAGCCTTCTCAGCGACTCTAGGTAAATTAGCAATACACTTCAGTTTGCAAGGCCATTATTTCTAGCAAAGGTAAAAAAAAAAATCCTAAAATGTGCAGCAAGGAAAATTACTTTAGTTTTAGGCAGCGTATGGTTCTACGTAAACTGTTTTTACATAATACATCTTAAAGTATTGGCCAGTTGTTTTTTCAATAGCCGTTCACCAGTGTACAGTAGGTCAGAATATGAATTATTTACATTCTCTGTCGATTCTTCAAAGTGGTCCATTCGTACCCTAAGTGTCAGAATAACAGCTGCACATTTGCAAAAAGTTTTTATTTCATAAAGAACCTTGATGGGGAAACAAACCAAAAAAGTGTATTTTGGCCACTTAAATAATTGTTCTTTGGTGGTGGGGTCTCTTTTTGAGATTGTCAATACATGTACAGAATTGCTACAGTCACCCTTAAAACACTGAGTATCAAAATTGAAACAGGGATGGTTGAACTGAGAGTTGTTACAAAGTCAAGATATTCTAGATTTATTAGCTCAATAATGGGACAAAAGGATTTAAGAGCGAAGTTACCCCCCCCCCCCGATGCTCGGTGCAGTGTGCAGACCCCTCCATACGGGATATTTTTTTGGCAATGCTCTCACAAGCTGAATCTGGATTAAACAGGTGCTTCCAATTTGAGGACTTCCCGACTTGTGGCACTGCATGGAAGTGTTTAAACAAAAAGGTTTACAAATTGTACAGTGTTCAATAATGTTAGGAACTTCAGTGCTGATAACAGACCTCTGTAGAGGTTGTTGATCTTGCAAAGTATGGAATGTACAGTGTGAAGATGAGTTTTTTATTGCTTGGGGTCAAGGAACTGTTTACCGGGGATCTCCAAGTCCTATTCACATGAATACTTGAGTAGCAAATGTGTTGGGAAAAAACTGCTTCTTCACACGGGACAGTTAAAGAAGTCAGGAAGATGTGCAAAGTTGTTTCTAGCATTCATTTCTTTTTCTTCCTATCAGGACCACGTTTGTTGCAGCGAGAGAGGGCCATCTTCCCCTCATTCTGTCCATGATCAGCATCAACAAACGTACCCCGCTACCTGCTGTCCTGCTCATGGTATGATGTGTTGGTCATTTAGGCCGTGTTTGAACATGTCACTGAAGCTGGTTACTCACTTTACTTCAAGATGACATCAGTTGTTTGCATGTTGTCCGAGAGAAATGCGTATCAAGAGTAACCTGCTCGAAACCGTGAATGTAATCTAAAAAGGACGTACTGTAGCACAGCAATGCTCATGTAGGTATGTGCTGTCTAGATCGGTAGACGTTTTAGTAGGCATTTTTTTTCTTTGACGTCTGGTAATTTTACGTAGAACCTACGCACTGGCTACTTCCCCTCAGTTGGCATGCTGTGTGTTATGTGTGATATTGCACCCCTACCTGATTCAACTGACCATGCAAGTTGAATTCAGTTACGTTAGACGTTATTTCAAAGTTGCCGCTCATCTCTGTCCTTTCTGCCCTCTGCGCCACAGCTGCCCATCTGCTTAATCATGCTGACCAGCAACAATGTCTACAGCCTCATCAACTACCTGAGCTTTGCCAAGTGGTTGTTTCTGGGACTGTCGGCTGCCGTGCTGCCTTACATGAGATGGAAGAGGCCGGACCTCCCAAGACCTTTCAAGGTAGGGCTACCCAAACTCTGCCCCTCTTGTCGTCCGCAGAGGCTGGCTTGTATTGAGTGTGACTGCAATAGCAGACTTGATGTTGCAAAGCATTTCACAGGAGAATGCACCAAAGTTGAAATGTGTTTTGTATTGTACAAATTTACAGTGCCTTGTAGAGTTGCTTTTATGTGGCAAAGTTAGCTTTTTGTGGCCTTAACTGTGCCAAATCTAAGTCTGTCATTTACTCTAAACGTGGGGGTTAGGGTTAAAGGAATGTTTGTAACCATTCCGGCCAGAAGAAGTTTAAAAAAGTAGATTCTGAGTCAGTGAGAAATGGAAAAGTGGAAAATAGGCTAAACCTCGGACCTTACAGAAGTAGAAGCTCCAAGCCGGACTTACCCCTTGACTCTAACAGGCGCAGCTTATCCTTGCTGAGTCCAGTCATGAGTCCAAAGCCATAATGACATCAAAGAGAAGTGAAGTCCTCCTTGACTCGCTGCTGAAGTTTGAATTTGAAGGCTTTTTTTAGTATCTGCTTCACACAGAACTTACGGCTGTTTCTAAAACTTGCTCTAAACTTAAAACTTGTGCAAAAAAGCTAGACTTCCTTGTGGAGTTTTATTTTGAACTCACCTGCACCACATCAACTTCCTGACTCCACGGTTTAGCTACTCATAAACATACTCCTCAGCGAAGAAAACATGTAGAGAATACCCATAAGTTTCTCCTCTGAAAATGTTGCCCTTGCATCTGCATAAAACTGCTTCTTGTATGACATGTTGTGGTTACTTCTAATTTCTTCCTGATTTTTTTGTGTGTGTTGGATTTTCAGGTCAGCTTGATCATTCCCATTCTGTTCATCTTGTCCTGCTTGTACGTGGTCATCGTCTCTCTCTACTCTGCCCCAATGGATTGTGGGATCGGATTGGCCATTCTACTGACGGGTGTACCCGTGTACTACCTGTGCATCTGGTGGGAGAAGAAACCCGTATGGCTGGAGAACTTCATGAGTGAGTTGACTCTTGTGCATTATGACCCTTCTTGTGAAATCCAAAAGGGCTCAAATTTGGGCTGCACGGAATTCCAGATACCAGAGGTTGGGAGTATTCTATTTGAATTCTTAGCATGGGATGCCATGTGAGTGTAATCAGCAATTCTAAGTACTAATGCTTGTGGAAATCACGTTTAAAGTCATCGGTGAAACAAACCAGGATCCCTCTTTTCTGTCCTCATCGGAACCAGCGGTTGCCCTATTTCTGCCGCTTATCACAACTGCTGAACACTCTTTACCGTTTGGCAGAAAAAATGTTCACCCCACAAAAAACAGGTTACCAGCCGATTGGTCTTCCAGCATGTACTTCTTGTGACTGGTCCCCTTTTTTTCCCCTACACTACGTAAACTTGCCAAACAGTTCCATTAAATTGTCTTTATTGACAAAACAACCAGATTAAATTTAAAAGCAAGGTTAACTTTTTATTCTGGAAACCTGAGAATGAAAATAATGAGGTAAAAGTTCATTTCTGAATTACTTAAAAATTGTGGTTAATACATTTAAATGTTTCAAGCCACATTATTTGGCTGCGGCTAGAAATTACACACGAGTCTATTGTTGTGGCCGCAGCCAGTTCACATTAAGTTGTGTGCAATTTCAAGCCATAGCCAAGTGATTTGGATGCCGCATGAGGCATGGAACAATAAATAGTCTGGCGCCACCTGTTGCTACAGAGTTTACATTAAATAAGATGGATTCGGGGAACTTGGTTGAAAATGGCTTCTCTGTGAATGAGGTCTGGGTGTTGTGGCATGAAACAAGGAATTTATGACTGGAGTCGCGAGAGGTGTGAGTGTGATGCGAATGAGCAACCTCGGTTTCTTCTCTATTTTTCTGCTGCAGTCACATCGACCATTCGCCTTCAGAAACTGATGCTTGTTGTTGTCCAGGAGAAGGAAACGTACTAAGTTTCACCACTGAGTCTTCCTGATGGGAGTCGGGGGGCAAGACAGCAAATGTAGGCAAGTTTTGCCCAGTCAAGGTCTTCTTTTCATAAATACACCTGCATCTGTTAAACATGTTTCACTTCTGTATGGTTTAAATGAACACTCGTTGCAACGCGAGCTTGCAGACGCGAAGCACTCTGAAAATACATCCTTGGAAAATTGAAAAGTGCCTTAAACGTTGACATTTAGGGCAGTTGAGCTAGCAGAGATGCTGAACTGTGTATTTCTACTTATTCTAAAGGTCATTGTCCAACAGTGATGGCCAGTGTTTAAAAAAACCAGTCCTTCAAGAACCTGAACGAAAGTCATGCTCACAGTTCGATATTGTGTTGCATCTGAGCTTTTTCCATTTTTAGTGCCTGGGAAAAAATTACATAGTCTTTTGGTGAACAACTCCAAGTATAGATGCCCTCATTTGTTTTGAAAACCAGCCCCTCCCCCCCAAAAAAATTATCAGTGCAGACTTACTCTGTTTTAGTCTTGGAAATGATTAGACTTGTTTCAGTTTGGGGCATTAGGGTAATCCGTGTAGTAGTGTTAGGCACCGGGTGGAAGGATTCGTCTATACTCTCCAGAAGAATTAGTAGCCTTTTCCACAAATCAGTTCTGAACTGAGAAGTTTTCGTTTCTGTAAATATATTTATTGGGCAGTTTCGATGGGGCAGGGCAAAGTGTTGCAGTCCAGATGTCACAAGATGGGACATACATTGTAAGTAGCAGGGTGAACAATGACAAAGGAATGCTTTTGTTGCAGTTCAGCTGAATAGCCTGTGACTTGAATTCAGACTGGAGGTCTTGTGTTGTCTTAAGGGGTCCCGACTTTAATGTGGGTGGGGGTAGGGTATTAATGAATGGACAGTGTTGTCATGCTTCAGTTGTTTCATGTTAATAAATTGGGTGTTGGTGCTATGTGGCTTTTTTTTTCTCAATTAACCACCTTGATAAAAAAAATCCTCCATTTGTTATGAGTTAATTTCCTTAAGGCAAGAATCATTTTTAATAAGATATACCGTTGACTGATTCTGTAGCATGTTTTTCTGTTTATTTTGGAGTGAAAAGGGAAGTTACCTAGCTCTTTTTTTTAAAAAAGATTTATGATTTATCCGTGCACTGTTCAATATATATACTGCTGGTTATATATGGAAACAGGGTCAGAGATGTGAAGATATTTTAACTTTATTCTGAATAAGTTAATGGGATTTTTGTGTTTGTGAGTGTTCCGAGAGATGTTACCTTTTGAATTTGTCAAAATTTGAAATGCTTGCATGTAAATATACAGATACCTCTGAGATCATAACAAAGAGTATCGTCAACGTAAAAAATGAGGACTATTTGCAAAACTTTCCTTTTTCAATTCGATACGTTTCCATTGAGTTTCTTGGGTTTTTTTTTTAGAGCTCCCAGTAAGGCAACTCTTACCTTTATGATATAAAGATGTTTTAAGGAGGTTTTGTAGGGAGGATTAAAAAATAAAAAAAAAGATCAGCCAATGCGTTGGCTCTAAACTTGAATGCTCAGCCTCACAGTAATGATGTCCGAGCTTAGAGCATTTAGAGGTTAAACTAGAATTGAAAAAAATCAATGCAATGTATTTCTAATGTAACAATACAGTGTAATTTTGACAAGCTAGGTTTTTTTGATAGAGGCAGCGTCGTCTAATTGAATCTGAGAATTCCAATTGTTGCACTGTTGGCATTTTCAATGCAATGAAATGGTCCAAGCACGAAGAAAAGTTTTGCTGTGTGGGCTTGACGTAAAAATCTTTGTACAAAGCATTTTATTGGCATGAAATAACATACTAAGGATATTTTAAGATGTGTGCAGACATCAATTTAATGTAAAGCTTTACAGGTGTCAGTTTGGAGTTTTATTTACAGTTTGTGAAAAACTAGTAATCTTAGAATTGTCCTTTGCTTGGACATCAACAGTCCATCAAACAAGTATTTTTTTCGGGATATTGAATAGCATTACACCTGTTCTCAAGGTTTTGGGCCTCAACATTTTGACTTGCTGGTATCATATTTACCTTGGTGTGAAGTGACTAAACATTAGTAGAAAAATAAAGTTGCAGGCAAACATTTTTGGGTCATATCTGTTACTATGTAAATATATTATCATTAGTGTTAAAGAGCTCTTATTTTTGGAATTTGTTCCAATTTCCATTTGATTTTAATTCAGTTAAGCTTAGGTGGCAAAATATATTAAGCAAGGTGTGATTTTAAGCATGAATTCGGTGTTTAAACCTGCATGAAATTTTAGGGCCATTTTTTCATGGGCAGTTATTAAACCTTCCCAAATGTGCTGAAATCAGCGCCTGAATTTAGCTTGAATTTTTATGAATTTGGGTCTGTTGCCCAACAACTGTTCATGCTACTGTTATTACTGAGAGCTGGTAATCTGGAGAAGTTCCCAAATAGGTGACAAAGTTGGAACAAGATAATGTAAATATTTTAGTATTATAGCATGAGTTGTTTAATGTTTCCAATTTTGCCTCAGTGTTTTGTTTTGAAAAAAAATATTGTCCAAAAATGGACATTTTTGTACATATAAAAAAATTCTTTTTCCCATTGGAAATGTATGTTTAGATTTTGCATTAGGATTGCTGAAGCATGTAATATTCAGCAAGCTATCTTCATTTATGATTGGGACAACTAGAAGGTGTTATCACAGTATTTATGTGTTGACTTGAGCCTACTGAAATATTTCTAGGAAGTCACCGTTTTGTCCCCATCAAAAATGCAGCTACGTTTGGTTTCTTGTAAACGTATGAAGAGAGAGAGAAATATTGAAATTCTTTTATTTTGTCTGCTGCTTTCAAAATGTAGTCCTTGTATATTCCATTGGCAAGAAATAACACCATGGAAACTATCTGCACAGTAAAGGTTCTTCCTGATTTTTACTGAATGGGGGGTTACCTTGAACAGAGCAGGAATTGTAAGGAAAAAGCTTTATGACCGACATTCTTGATGATTGACACGCCAAATTACTTTGGGTCGGTCAGAAGGATTTAAACAACCTTGAGCCAGCCACAAAATATCAGAGCCAGTTATTCATTTTTGCCATGTTCATGGCGGATGGGCCCTTCCCTGGATATTCAGCAGAGCATTTCAAACATGTTTAATTTTTCCATTCGTCTGCAGAAATACCCGACGTGATAATTACATACATTTACTTTTGAACTTTTCATCAACCAACACTTGTGCGCAAACTGCTTGCGTCATCTCAGTGCTTGATGACATTTTTTTTTTCTGATTTCCACGAGTGGGTCGCTGACATCTCATCATTAAATTGACACTCGGTTTGCTTTGGGGATATCGCGGAGTATCTAGAAATATACCGAGTATGAAGAAAAATTCCAAATGCAGAAATATATGGGTTTTTTTACATGTACATCCCGAACAGTGGAGACTTGTGGTAGATTCAAATATAGCTAAATGTCCTTTAGTGTACACATTACTAACATTTCTTTGATGTAAATGCTGGTCCATGGAACAGCATATTCACAAGAGTAGTATAGTTTTCCTTGTAAAAATATATATATTTTTTTCAAAACCAATTTTGCCACCTCTCAAAATGCTGGATGCTATCAGATCACCTTTATCTTGTGAGGAAAGTAATTTTAAAGACCAAAGCATATACAGGTACAATAAATAATTAAGCAAATATAAGATAAGATGCTGAGTTCAAAAACTCATCAAAAGCATATTTTTCTGCAGATTAAGAAAAAAAATTGACAAAAATCTAAAAGCACATCCAAGAACTTAAAATTTACACAACATTAGATACAATGTAGGAAATTCAGAAACCTGAGCACTTCACGAGAGACAAGTGTGGACTTGGAGTCCAATACTTTCACTTCACAACCAGGTAAAAAACAAAATCCTTACAAGGTGACCAACTTTATTCCTTGGTCAGGTTTTTATGTCCTTCCTCCATGGTATGAGAAAGGCCCGATTACTGCCATCTGTGACTGATGATAAGAACAGCGGCTGTGGCAAGGACCACTGATAATAGGTGACCTGTTGGGCTGGATTAAGCGTTCCCTTCACCCCCTCTGTTTATTTTGAAGTGAATGGCGAAGTTATCTCGCTCTATTTTCTTTTTGAAAGATTTATGATTTATCCGTGCACTGTTCAATATACATGTATACTACTAGTTATATATGGAAACAGGGTCAGAGATGTGAAGATATTTTAATTTTTATTCTGAATAAGTTAATGGGATTTTTGTGTTTGTGAGGGTTGAGAGATGTTACTTTTTGAATCTTGCCAAACTTTGAAATCCTTGCATGTAAATATACAGATACCTCTGAGATCATAAACAAAGGGTATCATCAAAGTAAAAAATGAGGACCATTTGCAAAACGTCTTTTTCAAATCGGTAGGTCTCAGACAAAAATCTAAAAGCACATCCAAGAACATAAAATTCACGAAATTTATGAAATACAATGTAGGAAATTCAGAAACCTGAGCACTTCGTGAGAGACAAGTGCTGACTTGAAGTCAAATACCTTCAACTTCACATCCAGGTAAAAAACAAAATCCTCACAAAGTAACCGACTTTATTCCTTGGTCAGTATGAGAAAGGCCTGATTACTGCCATCTGTGACCGATAATAAGAACAGCAGCTGTGGCAAGGACCACTGATAAAAGGTGACCTGTAGGGCTGGATGAAGTGTTCCCGTTATCAGGGGTGACAGTATTCTCTACAACATCCATTTCTGGATCCTCTATAGTGTTTCTGGGCTCGCAATGGAAGGATTCCTCACTGTAGAACCAATCACTTTGGAGACAGTCGCAGGTCAGGTCAATAGGATTGAACTCTGACCCTGGTGGGCAACCTTCCGAAATGAACCGGGCGCTCTGAAGCTAATTTCAGAGGAGGAAAATTGACAAGATAGAAAATTAAAATTGGCAGTTAAAGAAAAACTTCACGCAATGGAAACTCGCAAAGACATGAATTTCTCAGGGTTCTACATGTATCATACCCTAAATTGAAGAGTTGAGGAAGCTGGTTTGAATTGAAGGAAAATTAAACTGGGAATGAAAAATAAAACTACGCCGCTTTTCCCGATTAGAAAGGTGTCACATCTCAAGAAAGGGCGCTTGCCACGTACAGAAACAACTATATGAGTGTCACAAGTGCGAGTACATGCTCAAAATGAACTGCATTGGAGGTTAATCAAGAATATTAATATGGGTGTGCTAGGTTGGTCCCATCAGGACAACTGTACAGAGGGGCAGATCTGGAATCAAATGAGGGCCAAACTTGTGATGAGGAGGTTAGGGACCAAACAACTTGGAATCTTTTCAAGTAACCTTTTTATGTTTTTATGAGGGGGGTTGAATTTTGGGGACTTTTTATATGCTTTTGGTAGAAAGGGAAATAAAAATAGACCCCCAAACTCGTTTTCATTTTTCAAACAAAATTTTGGGCTCCTTTGTTGGGGGGGGGGTTATTCCTTCCCCTATACGCTCGTGGCTACACACCAACTCACACGCAGTGAACATTGATTTTTCAGCTGGCTTGACATGCTCCAGTTTATTCCTGAATGATCTTAACTGCCTATTTTGAAAGACCAAATTGGCTAATAGTGACACGTTTTACACTGTGTCTCCACATTTGCCGATTGATGTTTTAATTAATTGTATTTAGTACCTGAGGTATTTGTGTGGACGCTATCAGTGTTCGTCTTGCCCGGTGCCCGTCTCGCCTGGTTCTCTCTTCATCGATGCTCACAAGTGTATAAATGGTTGTCATGGTATATGCATTCCTCTCCTCTGCAAGACGAATTATGTGAGATTAGTGTATGATTCATTCTTAACGTACCCTCTGAGAATTTCAATGTGACAATAATCATGCATTCACAGGTAAATTTTTAGAAGACAGCTGTTGAAAATTTGAAGCTATATGAAGCTGCTGATTAGAGTTTAATAAATTCAAGAAATTTAATTGAAAATTTGAGAAATGATGAATGACATTTATGGACAAGTTGACAATGTCATGAAGTTGCAAGAGGCCAACCATTGACTCCTTTAAACAGGGTGTTTACAGGCATTAGATTAAGGAATGCAGAAAAATGAATGAAACATCCAGAAGAGGGGTTGTAACCATGACAACAACTGGATGTTATGAATATTCATGGTTTTGATTATGGCCAACAAGGGATGAGATTTCTCTTCAATGGCCATGACTATGTGAACTCTGCACTTCAGTTTTAGTGACATTAAACCTCCAACCAAAAACATCCAAAATTGTCGGGTTGCACATCCTGAAATCTGAAAACTGTCCTGAGAGATCACAACTCCGGCTTCTAGTATGAAAAACAACCATAAATTAATATTAGAGAATGGGGCTGTGTTGTAACAAAAACACCTTAAAAGTCTGAAATTTCATTCTTGAGGCAGTGAACTGATGGATTCCGGCTCGTGGCTCTGATGTTTCATAAGTCTGACGCCGTGTAAGTCTAAATGCCAGACAAAGCAGGAAATGTTAATTGTCAGAACACTATGGTCAGAACTACCAGACAACTAGATGACAGTCCCATTAGGGGTCAGACCTTTGGGATGGCAGAGTTATGAGATGTCGGACCTGTGAGGTGTCAAACTTGCATGCGAACCCAAAGGGAACGAGTGAACAAATGACAAGACCGCTTAGACTTCTATCCTTACGAGACAAGACTGTATTCTGGAGCTGACTCCTGTGCACCTGTTTCTCCAGGTCGTATTCCTCAAGGCGCAGTTGGCTGCCCGGCGGCGGGGATGAGATCATCTCCCTGGTGTAGGTGACAGGCGGGGGCAATGTAGGAGGGGGAGGGATGTAAGCTAAGGACAGCAAAGAAAAAAAAACCACAGGTGCACTACTTTAAATTAATGCCAAACTCTGTTCGCAGACTCCATAACTGACATAAACAAAGTAAAGTCTAGAATATTTTAGAGACCCGTTTACCTTTAACTGGTGAAAATTAACAATCCGTTCCTCCTATCGTCCCTGCCCACCATGGGGGAAGGTAGTCATTTGCGTAGTAATTAAAAAAAAACTGCTTCATCATCTTATGAGAACCAATCACTTCTTGAAAAGGGAAACACCAGAAAATCTTTGAGGCTCGAAAATGTTTGGAATTATCCCTTTAAAAGGACGGACTTCCAGGAAACTTTGAAATTTGACAAGGAGCTCATGGAAAAACTAAGCCAAAAGTTTGGAAATTTCAGGGTAACAGAGTCTGAGCAATGTTGGAATATTCCAAAATGGAAAGAGGAAATATTTGCTCGACTAGAATTTAATAAGCAGTTCCAAAAATTGTTAGAACGGCTTCAAATTTCCAAAGTAAACTTGAAAGATGCATGCTGACAACGTCAAACACAAATGTGCCGAAGACGTACAGTACACGTAATGCCAAAACAGGTGTAAATAAAAATTAAATTTCACTGTCATACCTGACTTTGTGTACTTAATGTAGATGGCAAATTCATCAGCTATTCCTATCTGCCCTATGTAAGGATCACAGAGAAAAATATGCATCCGTAATATCAAATCAAGGGGATACAGGATGTTAGCATGTTGACAAATCAAACGGTGCATCGGCTCATAAATATGTATGAACAAACTACTCACATACCACCACAATGGCACACTGTTTGCCATCCATTTACCTCTTCTGAAGTTGGTCTTGGTGCTGATCTTGCTGTAGTAGAATGCCGGATATGACAGGTGTTTTTCCCAGGAACATGGGTGGAACCGTGACCCAGCATCAAGGACTACCATCCAACCCAACTGGTGGCGACATCCTCTGTACCAGTGGCTGATGAAGAAACGACGTCCTAGACTGGCATGGCTGTGAGACAGAGAGGGACGATGTAGCATTTCAGTCCAGTTTCCATATGGTTCTAACAATCATTGACCGCAGGCAAAGTGTCACGATGCAGATGGCCATGACAGAGACAGTGTGTGGTGCCATTTGACTAAAGACTGAAACAAAATAGCATCTGAAACTCTGAAAATTGTCATAAGAATGCCTTATTTTAATATATTTGATTTTTAGATGCTGACCTGGTACCTCCAATCAATGCATTTCAGTGATGGTGGGCTATTTTGTTGACATCTGGGGTTTCAAATGAGAGGGATATCGTTGATATAAACCCTTCCAGCCAAAGTGTGAGTGTTTGTGTAGGTTGACACTGACAATTTGAGGCAGGCAGTCAGCAAAGTTGAACATGATCCAATTTTGCCTACCGTCTTCATCCGGCGTCTTTACGTCAAACGCAATTATGCATTTCCATGATGGCATAACATCATGTACTGTGGCAATGCCGACTGCATCTCTGTCCATTGATACGGAAACTAGGCTCAACCTACACCCTACACCTGACAACCCCATGACCACAGACTACAGGCAAGTAAGGTACGCACAGCTTTTCTACACAATCAGCCAGCTTGGTATCTCAACAGCACATGCTCAAACTGAAACGGCAGCAAGTCATTCAAGAATATAATTATGCACATACAGACGGCCCGATCAATGGGGCTGTGAGCCGACCCACATACACTGAACTCGCTTAAATTGGCGTGACGTCGTCAGGCGCTTTTCAAATCACCTTGCCTTGTTGGAACACTGAACTGTCTCCTCTTTAGTCGGTTAAAAGAGAAATCAACATATTCAATGGGACTGCGTAACCAACGTCATTTTTTTACCCATCAATACTGAAGAAGTTCTTGCTGCTGCTACTAACGTCATTGTACGGAGAGGAGATCAGACGATGGGCTCTAAACCAATCCATCTTGTTGGATTCTTGACCGTTGAAGATCAGCTCTAGGACTGGCTGATCTTGGTACAGCATGGATACCTTTACCTGGAGTTGGGATGTGGGTATCAAACAACAAAAGAAACGCTGAGCTGGCATCTGCTCTAACTCGAAGCATACCCTTTACTTGAAAAGGGCGGCAGCTAATATGCCACAAATACAAAGACTGTACATTTCAGCAGAAATTGATCGTGTGTGGTGCTCATCAGCGCATACCGTGCCAAATGCGCATAAATCTGTGTGCGCATGCCAAGTTCTTCCTATAGGGATGTCCTCGTTAAGTAAAACCTCCATCTCTTGCTCATGTAAGGAACGGACACATGTATACACATGGGTGCGTTGTTTGCCAGCGTTATTTTGACTAGTGAAAAATAGTGATGTGCAAGAACACCATGCAGGCCTCGATTTGAGGAATGCTGCTGTGTATAGCGCCAGCCGTGCCATTGTAGTTATTGTGCCCACTGGGAGTAGTCTGTGACCCATGACCCTGAAGTGTATTCCAGAGGAGGGGGTGCATGGGGCACAAGTCCCTACATGGAGGGATTTAATTTGGTGGTGGCCATACAAAAAATGGAAATTTGAAAAAAAAAGTGAATTTTTGTCAGTTAATTTCCCTCCCCACTTCTGCTGCCTGTGAGAGTGCCGATGCGTCCCCACTTTGGCAGATTAATTCCTAGCTTTCATTGGTCTCACTTCTTTAACAGTGATGGTGTCTGCCCACTCCTCTACCAGGCTGCTCTTGTACAGGCTGGAATGGATTTCTGAATCGGCTGTAAAGTCGGACGAAACCCAGAAGTCGTAGATGCTAATCCCTGAGTGTCGCGCTGCTTTCAGCACGAGGCGGAAACCTGTGGTCAAGAAACGTGTCGGGATCAAATGAGGCTGCTCTTTACAAACTTAAAAGCACTGTGGGATCTATGGTGCTCATCACAATCAATTTCTAAGCAGAACCTCAGCAGCACAAGGCTGATACTTGGATCGGAACATTTGGAACAATTTCCCTTTTGATTTTAACTCTCAGGTTGGAGGCAAAATCAAATATATTATTGGTATTAAACTCACCCTCACTGTCAAACAGACTACATCCATCCTTGTTGCAAGAATCTGTCACGCTGTCTAAACCGCTGCATCCACGCTGCATATCAATGCACTCTCTGTGTCTGGTGCGAACCCCGCCCCCACAGGACTGCGAGCACTCGCTCCAATCCGACCAGAAGCCCCACCCACCGGGCAACGCCTCCTGGGCGGTCACAAGAGGTGCAGGGTACACCCAGAATGGAATCACCTCCGCCCAGTTCATCTGACAGTGCTCTGAGTAACCGGCAAGGAAGCGCCCATCTCGGCACATGATAGGGTCCAGGGTGATCTCTGGATTGCGCGACTCTGTCTTGTAGAAGTTACCTTGGAAACTGCCCCTGCCCAAGGAGCAAATGCTCCACAGGAATCGGTAAAAGGAATCGTCAATGGCCACACCCAGCCAGTAGCCTTCATCCAAACTGTCTGACGACTCAGACGAAAAGGTTTCAAAGTACTCACTCTCATTTCTGGTCAATTCTGAAACCACTTCCAGTATTGCCGCCAACTGGACTTCGTCATTTTTACTCTGTTGATCAACGGCTTCTATGACATAGTCACTGAAACTATTCACCCTGTCTGCAAAGTATTGAACCCTGTCTCGTAAGTTACTCAGGAACCCTGAGGGTTCGAATGCCAGCAGGATGTCTTCCTCTTGAAACAGAAGAATGCTGTACAGCCCAAGATCGACGCGTTGCCAATCCGAGGCTTTTTCAAACTCAACAAGCTTGTCGACGTAACTGGGTTCCAGATGTAAGATGTTCAGCAACAAATCCCTGTCTGACAGCAAATACACATCGTGTCTGGAACTTGCATTCCATGACAGAGTAGGCTCCTGGTAATCAGACAGCGGGCCTTCAGCTCTTGGTAAAGGCTGAAGGCTTGCCGACGCAATCTCCTGTACGAGGTTCCTCAAACTGACCAAGTCCATCAAGAACTGGCAGGAGGGAGATGCTAAGTCGACCCAGTCTGGCTCGTAGTAGTACCAGTGATGCTGCTCAGTGTCGAAATCCTCACAGTGGAGTTTTGCCGGGTTGTCAGTGCCCACGTAAGACACCACTGGGGACTCGCTTGTGAAGGCCGAGTAGACCTGTTGGAGATTCCCATCTGAGCCCGCATCGGTCCCTGCCAGAACCGTCTCCAGGACACGGTACTGGTCCAAACGCCAGGCAAAGTACAGTTGAAAGGCGGAGCTGTCCACGATGATCGTCGGCTGTAAAATCGGAGGACTGGCTGAGGACAAGAGCTCTATCATGTAAAGTGGAGACAGGCTCCCATCTCCAATATCCTCCTTAAGGAAATGAAGCGATGACACTGGACTCCCAAGGGACCTTCTGAGGGTAGAATCAGGATATGGTCGGATGAAGACGCTATCCACAGCCACTCCTGTCCAAATGCCATACTTCCGAGTCAAAACTTTCTCAACTGTCAAAATTGAAATTAATGTTTGAATACGCCCATCATAAGAAACGGTCATAAAACAAGCATATGGCTTGCCAAAGCTGGGTAAAAAAAGAAGACAAATGTGTTTCACACAAGGTGACAAATGAAAATGGTAAGAACTGTGGAGATTTTTGACATTTGTTCCGCATCTGAAACTTTGACTTCCTGGAAATAAACAAGATGCTCATTTTCGTTTTAAGTCAAGACCGTGAAGACCTTGTAAAACCAACCAATCTGTTCTTGTCATTGCTCGTGGTGCACTGAACGGATCAGCACTGAAAACTCTTCCCCACCTCAAGTAATCGAGGGCAACTACTGTAGCCGAAGACTTACCAATGTATGTTTGAGGGACTGTGGTCGGTGGAACCGCTGTTTTAGAGCTTCCCTCAACTCCATCTGCTCAAGATGACAGAAAAAGTTTTTTATAGCTAACCAATTTTTGGGCTGAAAATGTGCCTTTGAAAAAAAAAGCAAGGTATAGCAGCCAATTTCGGATGCACAGCCAAACACAACTACTGACTTGAAAGGGGAATTTATTTATTTCACTTCTGATATTTTCATTTATTTCTTATCATGACAGCGTATTTTTAAACACCCTGGCCTAATGTCCTACCACCACAGGCCATGCACATCGAGCAAAATCAAGCTCAATATAAGGTCTCCCTCCAGAAACTTCTCAGACCTTGTGTGTGAATACAAAACATATGATTAGCCTCGTTAAACATCAATCCTTCGTGTGACTTCCAATGAATTGTTGCTTGGGACTATGAACTAAAGAAATTGGACATTCATTTCACATTTTTGTATGAACTTGATGTCATTATTCCTTGCACTTTTGTAGAGGCAATATATGGAAGCGAACTTCATTTTGTTCTGATTTGTTTACAACTTTAGTCTTAGAGCTGAAATAAAATTGAATTGCTTCTGGTTTCCAAGCCAAAGACTAATAGCATACATAAAACAAGTGTAGGAGAACTGAACACCTTTGCTGACTCTAAGAGTACACGGCACTGTTTCATTTTCTTATCTTACCATTTGTTCACAACGATGCCAAAGCATTTGTGTGACTTGATTTTTCCTTTGTAGCTTGTAGGATTTTTCTGATCTTACTTCTGTTTTTTTATTGAGTGGTACAAATGCATCTACTTACTTTGCTTAATGCCAGTTGTAGCCGTAGACCAGTACAAGAAAAATTTATTTTAATTCAGATTTTTTTGTTTTCATGCCCATGAGACTACCCGCTGGCACCATGTCATTTGACCTCGTGGTAGGCTGACACAATGAGTGGAGAATACCTTGACACAAGGTTCAAGTTAATTGGTGCTGTACAGTTGGCCTTGATGTGCTACTAGAGTGGGGAGGGTGCATGAAGGCACCCTTGAGGTTGAATGGGGTATGTTTTGTCTGTTGTTTGGTTTCAGAATTTATTACTTTGTTTTATGTGAATTGGAACCAGTTGGAGTCTTTATGCTGTAGTGGAATCTTGGCTTGTGGAAAATTTCTTTCATCTTTCTTGTCAAATTGTTTCTTTTTCTTTCTGAGATAGTGTATCCTGTTAAATAAAGTCTTAACTCATATTGAAGTTATATTTGAACACTGACTGATCGTAAATGATTATTACAGTGTAGTTTTTTTTGACTGGTTAGAGTTTTGTCCATTCTTTTTTTTCTGATAGGGTCTGCTCTATTTATGTCACAGTCATCTTTTCCTGCAAGTGACTGTTAAACTATGGCATGCCCATGAGTACAAAGTAAAAGAGTAGTTCACAAAATGTTAAAAAAATTCCAAGAAGATGAAAGAACAACCCTCTTCCGTCAAAATTAAGTTGGGCAAAGAATACATTCTGAACAAACTTGTGGTAAAATCAAAAACCAATTAAAGGGTGACTTTTCAGCAACCTAAAATTTGGCCACCCACACAAGCTGTAGGCGAAATGAGAGTGGTCTATTGTAAGTTTCACTTTTCATGTCTAGTTCACAATGTTCTTCTATGTTTATTATTTTGTTTATTATTTCTTTATATCTGTTCATCCAACAGCGCATTTAGTGCCAATAGGATGAAGTGACAGCTAAGAAGACGATGAAGAAATGTTCAGTTTTAGAAGAGGGAGGAAAACCCTGGATAAATATTCCAGGGAAAACCCACGGCATCAGGCAGGGAGTGAAAACCCAATCCACATGCTGACTTTGGTGGGATTCGAACCTGGGGTTGCAGAGGTAGAAAGTAAGGAAACAGCCACTACGCCAACTTGACTCCCCTTGGTTTGGGTTCGTTATAACTTTCATGTATTTTATTAATCGTAATCATCAAAAACCCTGGGGCCCATGGCAGTGCTTAGCAGTTAGCAGAAAGGTCATGCTTACTTATTTTGCTAATCCAGAAGCACTATTTCATGTCGGTGCTCACTGTGTTTGTGCTCACAGTTGTGCAAGCATGGAGATTTCCATTGTTTGTCACTATACATAAATCTGATGAGACGCCATTCCAAGGGGCCATCACACTCTCGCAGCTTCGGAAATTGACTACTGTCAGTTGGTCAAAAATGGAATTTCATGAGCGCGCACTGCCTGTGTGCGAACAGGATGGCCCCGTAGTAATAGTCTCTAATTTTGGTTGTCGGACTTATAAGCAAAGTCCTCCTTGCTTACTGCTTTTGGTCTTCATGAAATATGAGGGGCCCCTGTTAGCGTATAATCATGCGCTTAGCAGTGCCACGAATATTTGGCCCTGGCTCCCACTGACTGGATCACACAAACAATGTCACCAAGAATATTGAGCTTACCTTCTGGTGGTGTATCCGTGGGTTGAAGCATAGCTGCGTACTCGGGTGCCTCAGCTGGATCATAAGTAAAATATAGATCTTGACCGACAAATGCTGAGTACCGGTCCTCTTCCCTGGCTCCAAGGCAGCCCTATACCCATTAATATGGAAGGGATGTGGACAGACCTGAGACCTAAAACCTTATTTATTATTCTGATGTATCAGGATGGGCAAGGACCTTGCACCTGAAATGGCACCGATTGCTATGCATCACAGCAGTTCTACCTTTCCTCTGGAAGGACTGATTGAGTTATCCAGAGTTCTTAGGGAAAATAACCAGCTCATCATTTTCAAATTTTAAGTCTAGTTTAAAGTTTGATCCGAGTTATAACAAGGATACAGAGAGAACCACTGAAGAAAACAGAACAGATCACTACCCTGCCCACAAGAAATAAGTCAGCAACCAAAAGTGGAATGGTCTGGTAGCTTGTTTTTCACAAAGTGTACACTTGGGACTCCTGAGATTTAGGGCCGAGTCAATTCAAATAATTCACTATTCAAATATTTGACCTTCAATTTGATCGAATATCTAAACATTCGGTCATACCGACAGGCAGATTATAGATGAACAAACCATATACAAAATCAGTTGCAATAACGCTCACAATTGTACATTATGATCACTATAATAGCTATTCACATCTTGGAGTATCTCCAGCTATGATTTAGCAAGATTTAAGAGACAAAATAATACTTCTTGTCTCATTGAAAAATTTACATTCCTTTAAATTTTTAAATGAATAATGCACTTTTTGAATCGTAAGATTTTTGTCGCTTTTCATTTGAATCTGCTTGAAACAAGCCTTCATAGTGCAATATTTCTCGCTTAAAACAAAGAAAATTCCTTTCCTTTTCATGAATTTGCATTCGAATATTCAAATTCGGAAAATAACATTTGATAATGATCGAATATTCAGATATTCGGCATAACCTTACAGAGATTTCATCTTACCTGAGAGGAGTCCAAGTGCTGGTCCCCGATGCAGACCATGAACAGCTGAAGTTCCAGGATGTAGCTGGACCGTAGGAATGCTGGCGAGAACCGCACCTCGACGGTGATGTTCTCCATGTGGTTGATGGTCCGGCCGCCGCGGAGGTCCTCTCCCTTGTCATTGGCTAGTTTGACAATGGACAGCTGGCAAAATAAGAAAGAGAAATTATGTGTTGATGATGTAAGTTACTCTGACTATAACAGCTGCACATTGGCAACATTAACAACAGCATGACAATGGTAATGAATTAAACATGATCAAAAACATAAACAGCCACACTCTAACAACCAATAAGACAACAGTTATAGCAATAACAGAAATAACTGGAAAACGTTAAATCACATGTCACAAGCAAACGTCACAAACAACCACAACATTCGTTATACTAATGACACATTTCTAGAGGTACAAATTTTAATAAAAATTACGATAATTTTGCACCCGCACCTGAGGAAAAAAAATTATATGAAATGTTAGAATAAAAAGTGAAAAAATCATTCTGGATTTTGACCGTACATTGGTGGGATTATATTTTTCATATTATTTTTTATTTTATTCAATTTTAATTAAATTTTTATTTATTTTATTTGTAAATGAACAGAGGCAGGGGTTCTGCACCAGAGAATCAACTCACAGTGACGCTATCTGTTTGCTCGTCCACCGCATCCACTGTCGTCTGAAGGGTCAAATCAATGCGAACATCCCACGGCGGAAGATCACTAGCTAGCTCACAGGCTGAAAATGGACACCAGAAATTCCTCAACAAAATCACTCAAGGCAGGGAAGATTGTACAACACTGCAGTGACAGGTGTGTCTGTGTGTGTGAACAGTGGGCCACAAACAAAGAAACTGCATTTGACAATATAGAAACGAAGCAGCCTGCCAACAAGTAAACTCCCTGCATTTTCTGGGATTAATCTGGCCCCACTACATGGAAAGCCCTGGCAGAAAATTTCGCTGCTTAGCAAAAATTATGTCAGAAACAGAACACTTGTGTATTCTCAATGCGTTACATATTTCAATCCTCAACAGCTCTATAAGATTGTTGACACATATATCTCTCAGCGTCAGCATTAGATGCTGGATAATCATTTACCTTTACTCAATGGGCCTACCAAAAATTCCTAAGACCATCTCGGCCCCCTGAGTAAATTATAGTCTTTGTTGGAAATTCAATGACAATAACCATTATAATGTAATATCCATATCTGCACATGTGGCAAACTTGTGATCAAATGTCTTGCCTAAGGACACATAACACCTCAAATACACATATACACCCAAACTGCCCTTCCTGACTCAAAGATCATCACACCTTCAGTTGTGTTCAGATCAGGACACTTGTAGGAATCAAAGTTAAACTGGAAGACACCAGTAGCGTCAAGAGGAAGTTCTTGTACCAGGGTGGCTAGATCCATCCTCAGCACCATCTCAAACTCCCAGGTCTGTTGACAGTACTGCGGTCGTCGGAGGCTACAGATTGGCGTTTCTTCCAATGTTGAGGGAGGCTGGTAGGATACAGTCATCAGAGAGAGGGGTAAGGGGAAACTTCACAAGCCTAGTCTCAGAGACTTTCTTGGAAGTTGCATTTAAAAGTGAATCAGCCTGGTACATGTATTAGCTAATTCTCTTTATATTGTGTTGAGTATATACATTATGTCAGGTACTTCTGTTTGATATTCTTGACAATGAAAAACCTTAATTTCAAAATATCAAGTATCTGTCCGCAAGGGTTCTTCCAAGATAACTTCTGCCCTGGAGAAAAAGCTTGTGTGAAAAAGTCTTAAAATATTCAGCTTGCTCTTTGTGGAAGGCAAACTGTATTGTAGGAGGCACGAAAGGAGTAGGTCAGTGGAACACAGTGCTTTCTTTAAAACTTTCTATGTTAGCATATCCTTTCTTAAGATTTCTCTACCAACATCCCATCCCCCAAATTTCCTCAATTACGGAATCTGGGCCAAACAGATATTTTGAAGTAATAATCTCATGCTAAGTATCCTCAAACATCCACGAGCATATTGCCAACCAGGTTGCCAAACATAATGCCAAACAGTTCCTCACCGCGCTGACAACTTCTTCCAGGGAGTTCCCCTGAACCTCTGGTTCGTAGATCTCAGTTCCGTTTCGGAACACAACTATCGAACGGTTCCTGGCAGGCAGCAGGGTTGAGAACCCCATGTGTAGGCGGGCACGCGACAGGTCTGGCACGCCGTCACTGAGGAGATACGGTTCGACGATGGCAAAGTCAAACAGGACTAGCAGACGACCAATCTCCTCCAAGAGGCGCTCACTTATAATTGGGACAGAACTCACCACAAAACTACAGTACAGAAAACAGAAGGAAGAATTTCTTGTCAAAGTATTGAAGATTTCCTTTTCTTGCACTTTTAAAACATACAAAAGATCATTTAGAAAGTACCCAAGAGTGAGATTGAAGGGTGACAGCAAAATTCATAAAACATCGTCCAGAGAGGTTTTAAAAATGACAATAAATACTGGGATTTTTCTGGGCTTTAACTAGCTAACAACTTACAAGGCACAAATTCTCTCTGAAGAGATGTGATTATCTACATCCCCTACACCAATAGTTTTGTTCAAAGAACAAAAAGTTGCAAAACCTAAGATTTGTGAGTTGAAAATCTTGAAATCCAGAAAAATTCTCAAGAAATGTGCCAACGTCCATATACATGCGTTTTTGCCTGCGACAATGTGAGCCATCCACGCACATGTGCACATAACTTAAAAATTTATTAGTGAACTGGTCTTTAAGATTATAATTAGGGGAGCATGTATGCATGAGCAAACATGTACACCTTGTGTTTCAGGAAATAGGGGTCAATTCATGTTTGGCTTAATTTGATGCCGGTACCAGTTACTTTACAGTCATTTGAACCAAAACCATCGAGAGGATTTCCAACTTTTGGAAACTTTATTTTTTGTTCATGCCTTGTTTAATTTAATTTAGTATTTTCTGACATTTCTTGTCGGTTGTTTTTGATAAGTTTTGCATGACTTGGAATTTTCTTTCGGTTTGAAAAATTTAGTAAGCCTGTCGTAAAAGAAGTTAAATAAGATAAGCTTAGATTTAAACTGATTACCTTCTCTTTTCTAAAAGTAACTTCAGGCATGTACGTCCGACGCCCAAAATGTATGTCCAATACCAATACAATACATGTTTTTTCTGAGAGTTACAATCAGATAAAAACATGTCTTGCCTTAAAGTTTATTAACAAGGGTCTCCTGAAACTAAACACAGGAAAAAGATCACTTCGGGTCCAAGCATATCACAGATTTCGTGATACAAAATGGAAACTCAAAAAATTAACTTTCTCTGAGTTGGTCCAACACCCCGGTGTTTTGCTCGAGTGAGTTTCTACAAGCTAGTAATGCTGAGTGGGTAATTTATTTTAGTAAATCAATGTACCAACTATCTGGTGCCTTTATCAAAATGAAACTTTGCTTTAGGATTATAAAAGTAATAATTCACATTGTAGAAGTGTCCGGAATGTAGCACTGCCCCTCCTCAAATACGTCTAAACCACTAAATGTGGTTATCATTTTGTATTTACCATCTTCCCCCAAAACTCACTTGACCATTGCTATGCGCGTCAGCCTCCACACAAGCCTGATGTGTGTCTGAACGTAAGCCACTGCAGGGACGCGAATACTGCCCCCTGGAGACCAGCCAGGTACCGGGCGTACATTGGTTGCATAGAGTACGGTGGTGTACTGGATTTCCTCAAAATGGATGCTGAAATCCCAAATGTTGGATCCATCTGATCTCTCACAGTACATGAATGTGTCCAGGCTCCCCGCATAACGAACCTGTTAACAAAAAAGCCGGTGTACAAATGAGAGGAGAAAAAATGAAGAAATTCAAACAATCAAGTGAGATTTAAACAGTGTTTCTCAGTATTTTGTAATGGCATAGAAGCAAAAGTATTGGGATATCAGCAAATCAGAAGGAAAAGTTGAATATCTACAGAGGAAATAACGATGACCTTGTTATGCCAGGGTATTTTTTTTTCCAATTACACTACAACTTTGTCTAAATGTCGGTCTCGGCCGGTCAGCCGGCTGACAACTGTCTTCACTTTGGGGCCCTTAAGTTTTTGAGAAATCGGAATTTCTTGAAGTGTTACACTCCTTACGCCTTAAGATTTCTGAAAATGCTCTGATTATGAACAGGCATGGTAAGTGTTGATGCTGTAAAGCCATATGGTGTCCGGTTAGAACCTCAGATCCGAGAAACAATTTTTTTTTCATGTGTGCCTCCCACCTTCCTTGTGCTCCACCCCTATTTAGGTTTTGGGAACAGTTCTATTCCATTTAAAACTATTTCAAATCATTTATTTAGAAAACTAGTTTCATGCAAAACCAGTGTTAAAATATTGACCCAGTTTGAGAACATCTCACACTGAGTGAACAGTACAATAGCTAGAGGTCAAGAATACATTTTTGAAGCATTTACATTAGCAGAGTTTCTCTGTGGACAAGAGGCGGGCATCCAAGCGGACACTTACTTCGTCCAGACGAATGCCAAGTGTTGCATTTTCGTCACTTCCCCGTAGGTACCTGGAGAAGAGATTTTTGGCACCAGAGCTGTTTTTGGACTTGAAGAAGTCGTCGTCGAAATAGCGATCCTCCCATCTACGGTCCTCCTCCACATTTGAGCAATAACCGGTCCTGCTGGACCACAAGTCACCAGTTCGATGGTCAATCGGGGTCGCAATCTTGTAACGGTAGGGCTGAAAGTCAAGGAGCCAGACCTCTTTTGTTCCTGAAAGTAGGAATAATAGGGTAAAGGGACGGACAATAGAAAAAAATGTTGCATCCTGACTCCACTTCAGCAGTTGTATACAAAGTCTATGGGAAGTCAAGAAAATCTTTGAAGTATTTCGTAACAACTTGAACATTTTTCTCAGTCCCAGATTCTGCAATGATTGACCTTGAGACAACGCACGATGAAAATAGTGGAGGCAGGATGTAACTTTCTTGCCCTGATAGCTTTATTGGAAACAAGTTGATAGAGAAATTTTGGTGGCACCAAAATCCTTAATGATGAAATAGTAAAAATATTGTCGTTTGGAATGTCACAGTTGAGAATGTCCCCTTTTCTTTAGTCTGAACTGTTCACTGTCATAGGGATGTCCATGAATTTTTAGGTTTTCTCCAGCAATAACCACAAGTCTGGTATGGTTGGAAAGAGCAGCTCAAGAGAAGTTCATCGGTGTATAAATCACCTTCATAGCTTGTAATATAGTGGAGTTATGAGTGTTTTGAAAGATACTAGCAAAAGTATATGTGTCTGCCGTTGAAATTTCATTTACATTTATTCCTTTAAATAGAATGAAACTGGCATCTTTTTATTAGTTATCCAGCTGAAGCCAACCATTACCAAAACGACAGTCTGCAAGTACTAGCTGTCAGTCATACTAAAATAGGCTTTGTGGCCAATAAATGGCCATATTTTATGGATTTCAAAACTATTTTAACCTCCATTGAAGTATGTACGTAAACGTATCCAGTTGTGCATACAAATTTTAGAGTGGTGTGATTGAAAACTTCGAAGTGAAAACAAATGCAAATACTTCCCTAATTCGGCTTAGCTGGATTTCCATTATCTGATTGTTTAAATTTAATTACATTTTTATCAAGGATTTCTGAAATTAAAGGGAAGGAAAAAAAAACTTGGATTTTGTATTTTTTATGTATCATTCATAAGAAATAAAGTATTAACACAACAGAGAAATACAGGTAGGTGCGGGTAGTAATATAGACACAACACGGCATTAGGATTAAAAACATATATCCCCAGTGAGCCACACTCCGGATCCGTATAATTCCCAGGTCTAAATTTTTACTGGATCATAACGCTTTGGGATTTTGAATGTGCCTAGTTATCGTGCCTGAAACTACATTTTCTCAATCAAATCTTCTCCCAAAATGCTGTCAAAAAATGTTTGACGATTTTTGGACTGTGTAACCAGAAATTTTTTGGCAAAATCCTGACATTTTACTTATGATCCTGCCTCTCTTCACCAACGATCCGCACATCATGAGCAGCAGTGTGAAGCTCTCACGTGCGGATCAGTAAAATGTCTGAAATCTGACAGTTCATGAACATATGAAAATCGCAGCTTAGCTACACACACTGTTAAAACCAGCACACTCAAAACTTTCCAAAAACACTACTTTTACATACCTTCTCTCCCCTTTATAACGGTCCTTTTTACGATTTTTGTCACGATAATTTTTGTCAGTTTTCCCATGTAACTCTGTGGCATTAAATGATGTGATTTTAACAAGTTTTATTAGTGAAATTAGGGCCTACCTGTGAAGTTTAGAAAACTTTGGTTCAGTCGAATGCTTAGAGCCTCTTTGGTGAAAATATTGCATAAAAACAACTTAGAGGTTGTTTACCGGAAGAGGTAGAGAACTCAAAGTTCAAAGGTTTTTGAGGATTGATTTGCAAAATGGTGTCCTCCAGTGACGCCCCTACTGCCTGACTGCGAAGCTCTCTGACTCACTGTTCTGCCCGATTTGTTTTTCGGGTGTTAGGCAGCAATTTAGTCCAACCTCATGACACCTTTTGAAAGAGAAATATATCCAGCCAGAATGAGACCGAGGGGTATCCTCCCAACATTTCCAATCGCTATTCACACTCAAGACTATTGTTATCCCCTAGATGTCGGAAAAGAATTCCTCAGATTCCAGTGAAACAATGACCAACACAAAGCAGGGGGGGGTGTCTCTCCGTCTCATATCTCGTTTCGCATGTAGAGAAAGTTTTTGGCTTACAAGATCACAAATTTAAGTTGAAATATTGGAGATTTCTATTTTTACCGCTGGTCACTCGTCGAGTTTTTACACACTAGCAGATATGACTCCGTGATCTGATAATTCGGTCGAACTCGCTATTAAACTGTCACCGCATTACCTAGCTGCAGTCAGGGCAGTGACTCTAAAACATTACATGTCATTATTACTCGTTATGTTGTGGGTTAATGGACTGTTTCCCTCATTTTTGAGAAGAACGTTTTAACAAAGTTGCAACCGCCTTCTCTTTATGTACGCTTTCTGCTGTTACATTTCACCAGCTCTGCAAGACAGCGATCCATAATTCTACATTCTCTCATTCACTGACTATGAACACGAACACAGCTCACAAGATACGTCCAGTCTCACCTACGGTGTCTTCCAGGATGACATCAAGTTCCGCGGTCTCGCCGTTGACCGTGAATTTTCCGATCCTGGCCCGCCCCATGGAGGCGAAGAGCCCGTCAGTCGTCTTGTCAGGCACGACAAGGCCTAGCTGAGAGCCCTGGGAGCCAGAAAACCAGGTCATCTGACGAATGCACAAGCATATCCATAAGGCAATGATTTTCACCATGGACTGCATTTTGTTTTGCGATGGCTTTCAGTTAGGACATTCACATTTTCCAGCGAGGTCGAAGATATAAATGCTCCACCCAGTCGCAGGCAATCCACCCAACAGGAAAGCGAAAGTGTGGTCGATCTAAGCGCGCGAAAAAAAATGTGAACGTGCTTTGACTTGGGCCTACAGGTGACAACTGGTTCGAGGGTAAAACGAATCGACATAGCTCCCAACAGCAGTCGGATTTTCAGAAATGACACAAAAGCTACCGTTTCCTTTTAACGAAATATTGAACTAACAAAGAAAAGAAAACAACAAAAAACACCTAAAAAACAAAAAAGACCAAAAGAAATTAAACCTTGCAGTCACACAGGAATACTTTCAAGTTGCAAATGTGGAGAATGTAATCTCAGGAAGTGATCAAAACACCGGTATCATAGATGTCATTTTCAGATGTGACAGTCCATTAAAAAAATAAAAAATTGCCTCCCTGCGGAGAACAATGTTAACCAATCTTTAAAAATTGTATTTTTGGTCACTGTAGTCTGCAAGCAGTTTGCAGCAGTTTTGTATTACAACACTTAGTACTGTTTTTACCATCTCTCCGTACGTTCCATTTCCCCCAAGTTAGCTTCTGCGCGATTCACACGAGGTCAATCATAATCACATTGCAGTTGTTTTGATTCAGATTTCACTAAACCGAACGACAAAGCGGTAAAAGTTACAAGGGTGAAACATCCAACATTTTTATTTGGATGCAACAGAGTCAAACTCAAAAGGTATGAATCATTCAAAGAAAACAGCTTTTTTTCAATCAGCATGCTGGCATTTTGTATTTAATACATGTATGTAGACAATAGCGATAATTTCAAATAAATTACAAGCTGAAACAACTGTCAAAATTGAGGAAACAGAGAAAAATACCGAATATGGAATTAAAAATCGCAGAAAGGGAAATATTAACTCGACTGTAATCAGGTGCGGTTCCGAGTGAGCCCAGATGTAGGCCAACTGTACTATTAACAAGTTACCATTTTTTCCAAGGAAAGTATTGTTAGGCCAAGTTGTCTGAAAGATCATGTATGAGAACTTTTGTTCCATAACACGTTTTTGGAGGGAGTGGGGTATACCGCCCTTAGCTCTTAAGAAGCGCTCCTGATTTGCAACATTCTAACAACCAAAGCCCATTGAAGTAATAAATTTATTTATTATGTATTTAAATCAGGTCTACATTAATATAAATAAACGTAGCAACTTTTTGAAAAATGAACAAGTAATCCGAATAAAATAGCCAAAGACCTTTAACTTCCAAGACAATGCGCCAAATTTAAAAACAACTCCTTTGCCATTTCTACAAGAGTAAAATAAAAAAACCTTCATACCTAAAGGAAAAGTAAACAGAAATTCCCGAACTGAAGGCAAACAGACGTGACTTGTTAAATTTAAAGTGTGTTTTAATCCAATATATTTCTAAGAAACAGGAAAAAAAATCACTTAGACTACACATAACTAGAAAATCTACTTCAGAACACGGAGAACTGTCTATTTTCAAGAAGATTAATTGTTGAAAACTGCAAATTTAAATGTGAAACAGCACAAAGAGACCCCCCGTAAGTGAAACAGAATCACACATCATATCAGTTGTATGAGTGCGGATAAACACAAATTTTAGTTTCCGATTCTGTAAGAAAATATATACAAGTTCCCCAGTTATCGGAGCTTTTTTTGGACTTCGGTATCTACACATGATTTAAGATTCAGTGCAAAATATATAAATAATTCTTATATATTTCAAAAAGACATGAATCCGTGATGTATGACCCTGTTTTGGAAGGACAAATGTAATGTAAAACAAAAAAACATAAATTACGCTCTTAGATATACTTAACATTTGATGTGTCATTTTAGACAATACTTTTAATAAAGCAAATTTCTGCATTGTCTTCGTATACAAGGCATTTTTGTATAATCCTCAACTGCAATTTCACAGCTATTATTCTAAACAATTATTTAGACAACGGAGTAATTGAAGTTGTGCAAATATATAGCTTCGTTTCATCCATTTCACCGCTCCGAACATATATATTCTACAAACATCTCACCAGTGTATTTCAGTAACATAAAAAATAACTTTGAAATTTGAAATAAATCTGCAACAAAAACTTCTTAAAGCACCGATATGTTGAGGACCTATTTCCCCCCCCTTTTATATTTACAGCTGTGTGGAGGTGAAATTTTGTTAATTATGGTGCATTTAATTCTCTTCTGTTACACAATTTCATAATCTGAGCTTTGTGTGGTAGCCATCTTGCAGGGCAGTTCTTTTTTTCCCACAGGGAAGCCTCCTTTGTGCATATCCCGTGGAACAAAAGCACTGGCCTGCAAGATGTCAGCCATGCAAACCCTCTATTGAAAACAAAATCTCAACCCTAATATCCCACGCACTATTGCAAGTACCTCCCCCCTTAAAAGCTTCCCAATTCAGAATCGTGCAGCACATCAAGGGCACGTTCCTTGTACACGTACTTCCAACTACATTTAAACATGGGCCAGGAGCAAATGCCCAAATCCACCATTAACCTAAACCAAAGGCCTGGAGAGTGGATTAGGATGGAGATCAGACTGCAGCGGATACAGGACTTCACAGTTACCAACGATATTAAGTCTACATACAGTACACATCATCTACTCAAAGCACACACATTCTGCAAATGATCTCTGTGTATTCCACTTTAACTGCATTGACAGGGCAAACTTTCATCATGCTGTACACATCTTCCCTTCAAATTACACGGCAAACTAACGACATTTTTTTTTCTGCATTTAATTGATTATAGTTTAAAATCGATCACAAGTATTTTTCTCCAACTGTCTTTGTACAATGGACCTTAATATTTTATTAGCAACTTGTTTTATTGTAATTACATCACATACCCATGTAAGACAATAACGTGACTATCTTTTTGAACACATCAATAAATGTTGACTTAAGTGTCACAAATGACTTTAAAAACAACGTACGGCATACTTTTTTGATAAAATACACGCACCAATGGCAAACATCTCCAAGATGACTATTTAAAAATAAATTCTAATAATCAGCTATTCAGAAACAATAGATGCATTCATCAATTAGTGGTTTACACAAAATGCCCATCTTAAGGGCAGATTCTTGCTTTGCTGGTAGAGCAATGCGAACAAAATGTATTATTGCTTAATGAAAACTTTGTTCAATATGTGATACACTAAATATTGAGCGACTTATGAGGTATATATATATATGTGTCCAAAAATCCCTGGCCCCACAACACAAGAATCACTAAGAAATCCTTCTCAAATTCCGTTTCAAAATAAATTCACGGCTCCAACCGTAATGGCTCACGAAAATTAGTCTAAGGAAAGAACTTCCCTTAATCCAAAAAGTAAGATGAATGTGAAACAGATGGTGAAAGTTACGACAGACATGCACCAGCGTTGAGAGCCTTACAGACAGTTTAAGGTTTCAAAATGACAAACATGCACCAGCGTTGAGAGCCTTACAGACAGTTTAAGGTTTCAAAATGTTACCAGCTTACTTTTTAGAAATAAGATTAACTCTTTTAATGGGAGGTTTTGTTTTTCTTTCCTATTTTATTTCCAAACCCCACTTACCAAAACACAAAATGTTTTATAACCTTTCTCCCATCCAAACTATTGGAAAATAGAAACAAAAACAAAACAAAATCAATATTTTAACCTGGAAGATAAGCCATTTTTCTTTCGCTGAAGGAAGTGTAACCTGGCTTCAGCATTCAACATACTTCCCTGCTGTTCATTACATAAAAGTAATGCAAACATTTGCAGCACACTGGTAAGACTGCGATTTTTTTCCTCCGCTATGGACTTTCGGCATGATGGTGCCTTGAACAATTAAAATTCAAATTAGCTTTCGTGCATTAGACGGCAAAGCTCAATCGGCACTTGGACGTCAGCCACTGGTTGATTTTCCTGGTATCCAGGATATATGTTAGACATAGTTTTCCAGGGAAAATCAACCAGTGTTTGACAAGTGATTATTGGTCAAACTTGGCACGAAGGAATTACAAACTTAAGCAGCCCACTGTAAATTTATCACGGGCAATTTTCAAACATGAAGTATGGGAAATCTATTGACATCCCCGGCCATGTGCTTCATTCAAACACATCTGCAGTGCTTCAGTCCGAGCACATGCCAGTCAAATGATGGTTGAACCAGTTTTATAACAGTCCACTATGCTGCATCAACCAACCCAGATTGGTCCCTGGTTATCAACATCCAGAATATCAAAACATACAAGGGGGCAGTGTTGTAGTCGAGACCACTTAAGACCTTCACAAGACCCCGCAGGACTAGGACAAGACCATCACAAGACCTCTGGTCTGAATTCAAGTCACAAGCTATTCAAATGAACTGCAACAAAAGCGCTCCATTCTCATTGTTCACCCTGCTACTTGTGTCTGGTCTTGTGTTGGTCTTGACTACAACACCGCAAGCAGGGCACTACGACTGATGACATTTGATGTTTGCACGTTAACACTCGGTGTTGACAGACATAAGTTGGCAACATGAAAACTTCAGCTGATGTCCCATGAAACGAGTCTACAGTATTTCCACAGTTCTCCCTGTGACATCCATCACACTTTCCATTCTCACTTAAATAATAGAATTTGTAGTGGTGCTTCAGACATGACACTGTAAGTGGTAACTTAACTTGAAAAAAGATTGCCAGAAATTGTAAGTGCTCAAAGGAATTCAAAAGGGTATCCTATGTGACCCATAAACAGCCAGACGGATCTATATAAGTTCAACACCGTTTACTTCCATGGAACAATGTAAACTGAGTAAACGATACTCTGGCAATAACTGGCCTGTTTTACTCAACGAGTATGACATATCCTGAGTTGACCTTTTGCCTATACAGGGGTCCACATGCGGGCCTTTAAATACTGTGAAAAACAAAAGCAGTCAACCCTTATTTCAATGCCAGAAAATTTCAAGTATTTGTCAAATAGCAGATTATGTTTACTGATATGTAATGTTGAATTAAACCTATGGAAACTAAACATGAAAAAACAAACCCACATATATATCAGAATGTCCAACCATACAATTCTGCTAAGGTATGTGGATTTTTTTGGGGGGAGACAAAGTTTAAGAAATTTTACAAAACAAAAGTGTTTTTTTATGGGCCACTTTATCAATTTCCAACAGAAATGATACAGTGAGATTACTGTATATCTTTCCTGACAATGGACAGTGCCACCTGTCTAAAACCCTGACTCCCTCACTTTTATCTTAACCCTTACTCACTCAAAAAAGAACTTTACGTGGTACTACCACAAACCTTTGTTTGGTTGCTATGCCCACTGAGCAGAAACTCAACTTGCATAAGATTACATCTTGTAAGGGCTTCTACCACATGCACATACTTAATTAAATTCAAACAAATTGATGAAGTGCATTGTCAGTGCTTGATTTAAGTTTCTTAGATCAGCTGGAAAAAACTTTTTTTTTTTAAGGTATTTAAATTTTCAATCCTTTTCCATTTATCAGAACTTTTTCATATGTCCAGTGGGTAAGAAACATCAAATTTGTCCAAAACCCTAGTTAAACATTGGATATTTGGGCTCGAAAGTCAATATTCGGCAAAAAAAGTTTAGCTAGGTACGACTGTATTAAATTTTTCATGTGAATCTGACCTATCATGGTAGAATATTGTCCAATTACACATGACACAAAATGGACGCAAGACACGCAAAATCTGAGACATACAAAATTCTATAGGGTTGTCTAAGGGGTGTGGTAACTCACGGCAACGGCACCAACGGCAACAGGTCAATAAAAGCATCACTCTAAAACTTGTAAGAAACTCAGCTGGGGAGAAACAAATTTCCACAGTGGTGACATTGGAAGAAGTTTTCAAGGGCCTTCAGTCTTCGAAGCATTAAAGTGATGCTTGGGAACTGTTTTAATAGTAAACTAACAGCAATCACGGATCACAGTCTTCTGAGAACTTCAAGACCCTGCATTAAAAATATCAACAATCTGAAATTCCTTTCCCATTACCGTGGTAATTCATCCCTTCTTGGATTGCCCTATTCCAGTTTCTTTTCCTCAGCGACACAGACGAGCATTTTCTGCATCTGGTGGGTGACATCGTCTGCACAGGAAGGAAAATCAAGGGGGGAAAAGCCTACAATTTGTGCTTTTGATCGGCAAACATGGACTAGATCATTTTAACACCTTATACTGAAATTCTTGACACTCATCTAAGGCTTTTTTGGCTTAGAACCTTCTTGAGTCCTGCAAAATCCTCCTCTTTTACATCATTTTCAATTGAACCTTTAAGGAGGGATCAAGCCATTTGTACAGTATCAGTGCATTAGCTCTGCCTTCTCAAATCCTACAAAATCCTTCAAAAACTCTCTGGAGATTTTCAGGTATTTGGAAGGTTCACGAATTTACACCCAACACCCGCAGCAACTGGACCAATTTTTGTTGTGTTTTTGTTTTTTTGTCATGGGGTCTGTGGCGAAGTCGGCAATCAGTGAACATGGGTGCAAAAACGTGTGGGGCTCCAAAAGTTACAGTGTTGTGGTGTGCTTAGCGCAGGAGATTGGAAAAAGATGGGTCTGTTAATGGGTTGACGTGACTTACGGATGCAGTTGACCAGCCACTCTGGTTTGTTGGTCCAGTACACGCCAAAGAAATAAATGGGAAAACCGGTGCAGATGATGGCCGAGCCAATCAGGCAGTCAAACGGTGCGGCGACAAAGCCCATCACAACCAGGAACAAGCACATGAAGAAGAAAATGATGGGCAGAGCCAGGGGGACCTGGTGGGCAGACGCAGGACAAAGGTCAGAAGTTACAAACAAAGACTTGGTTCAGTCAACTGCCAACACAGTGATGTCACAAGGCATTCATTCCAATGGGGCTGTCATTTATGCTCAATACACACGGCACTGGATTATCACTTGCGGCTCACTGTGGGGCATGTTTGTTAAGACACTTATGATGTTTGCATTGACAAAAATACTGAAAAAGAAAGGAATTTATTATTCTCACACGGCTTTCACTCTGAGAAATTAAGGGCCATTTAGACATTTAAAAATGCACTGGGTACTGCAATTTTTGGAAGAATGAGATGTTGCAGTGTCTTGGCAATCCATTGAAGCTGACTCCAGATGGTGAGGGGTCATTTGGGGACAAAGCACGCATGAAGTGGAGTTGGGCCGTAATGATAAGGCAGACCTTGCACGCATGTCAGAATGACCTCAGACTAGCTCCATTTCGGGCAGGCACTGTTGGAATACCAAACTGGCTCATTCAATGTTCCGGTGGTCTTTCTGCACTAATCCTACGCATGATTATTCTGTGGCAACCTGGCCAATATAACTCATCCCTTCGCCATCAAGATTGTCCATATTTTTCATGCTCACTATCTCAAACTGCAGTTTCAATTCAAACGCAGTTCCTGTAAGGAAACTAATCCGGGACAAAATGCGGGTGGCAACATTGACTTCACCCACCACAAGCCCTGCATTCATCCCGGATGAGTGAATTTTGAGGCGACTCCCAACCTCTTGCATTGGAGAGTTCATCATGTGTTTTCTCTCCAAAAGATGAAATGAGCCTGACATTGCATCTAACAATTCAGCCAATGGCTGTTTAGCAATATAATGGCACAACCAATGGGAGGAGTAAATGAAAACCTAAACTTGGTCCTGGGTACTTCCTTTTCAAGACCCTCAAATGCAATCCTGATGCACCACTTAATAACCAAACACTTTCCAAACAGTGTCTCAAATTTCCCCCGTCGGCTAGAGCTTACCTTGACGGGCCGAGCCATTTCTGGTCGTGTCCAGCGCAGGAACAACTGGCCGGCGATGGCAGTACCGGTGGCCAACCAAGTCACAAAGCTGAAGTAGTTGATCAGCTGGATGATGTTCTTGGCAGGCATGTAGAGCAGAGTCAGACAGCACTGCCAAGAAAGACAGGACAGGTGGAAACCTTAATTAACGCTTGTCCTCAATGCTCATATTACCGCGTCCAATAAATATTTTTTTTCTCTGTTCCTTAATAGCGGGGAACACAGACTTATCCCATTATCTTTTTTTCCCCCTGTTCCTCAAACAAGGAGCACGGACCTGTTTGCTTCACAAAAATTTGGATCTCAATCACTAATCCCAATGCTTGTTCGCTCCATCTGGTGTCAGCGAACCAATGACGGATCACTGATTGAGACCCTGGATCCCTGAGAAACAAACAGGCCCCTAGTTTGGGTTCACGAAGCAGTGCTTTATCCAGAGGGGTGCCTGGGCATCTTCCCCCCCTCCCCCGGCCATTTTGGAAACCACCTGCATTTAAAAGCACTTTTCACTTCAAGGCAAATGAGCAGGCCCTGTTTTAAAAAGCTGGCTGACAACCTGTTGAGGGAAGGTGTGGAATTCCCTGAAACAGAAAATGAATTTCTACACACGATAGGAGACGGATAAAAGGTGGACGGCCTGATCCAAAACGGAACGCTTACTGGAGTTCCTTCTCACAGCATATGAATAGGTGGGTGTAAGTCATGGGAATAGCTGCCATGGGCAGTTCTCTCAAGAAAGATGAAGAGGGGTCCACATTCGCCCCCCTTCAACATTTTTAGCCACAAGTGGAAGTGCCCTCTGATGTCTGATAATTGCAGTGCACTAACATCACAATGTAACAACCGCTGCCTTATTCTTCACAGAATAGCATGCATTTTTGAAAAGAATACACACCCCTTCCATACTTTGAGCGAATGCAAAGGTGAGGCGAATTAACATCACAAAAGAGTGGCCACCAAATTTTGCTCAAGTTCAAAGATGGTCAACTTCCGTGCATTGGCAGCGTGACAATTCAAGATGAAGTAACAAGTACACATCCACATCCGCTTTTGTGCTAAGTATGAACCGGCCTGAAGCCAGCATCCCAAGCAATAGAACCTACAACACTGAGGTCACACTTTACGCTTGCTTTCAGTAAGGAGAAACATGATCCACATAGGAAACCGCACATGTAAACGCAGCATGCTTTCAATGTTTTACATCTACAATGACGTGGGCTGTTCTTTCACTTTGGCCAGAGGGCTGGATACTCACAGTGAAGATCAGGGAAGGCATGGGTGTCTTCCACCGCACGCTGATCATTGCCAGAGCTTCAGGTAGATGGCCATTACGAGCTCCAACAAAATAGATCCTGGACAGACACACACATAAATAAGGTTGTTTTATCCCCGAAACGATTCCAACATGGAAATGGGAAACCCACAGGTGCATGAGACTCTCCAAAATGTTTCCATTCATTTTTTTCAGGTTTAAGGACAGACTCTGAACTAAAACATCAGGCAATCTACCGTTCTGAGAGTAACACAGCCAGCCTGTGATCGGGATGCATTAGTAAGGTGCATTATCACTACGCCTAAGTATAATATTGCCGTTTTCCAGTCATGTTTGGTATTTCTCCCTGATCAAAAGCAGATGAGATTGGACAAGATGTTGGAAGGATTGGCTTATTGCAGTTTTTCATACTGTGTCAAGAATCTAGACAGGCCAATCTCAACTAAAATACATGTATGAAGGATCTGGTTTAACTGTAAAGGTAAAAGTCCAATAAACCAGGTTGGTGTATTTACTGTGCATATGACATTGTTAACTGAAAGGGTGTGTTCTTGTATGACTAAGCAGAATGAAATTGAACGTGCTTGTACATTTTGTTTGCCTACACTTACGATGTGGATTACCTCTTGTGACAAATACCCTGTCATATCCAAATAGTTTGCATATTATATTTTTCCCTTGCTCACTTGCAAAAAGTGCACTGAATACACTGAAGACGAAAGCAACAAAAACTTCGTCGACCCTTTGTAACGCTTTACCTGGATCCAGTCAAGAGAAGTCCATTGACTCCACCAAAGGTAGACAAGGCAACAGAGACGGGCATGATCCAGGCCATGACACCGAAAAGTTTTGATCCAAAGGTCTATGGACAAAAAAAAACAAGAGACAGACAGAAACATAAGAGATCAGTCATGCATCTCTCTAGTCTGCACAAGAAAGGCTGTTCGATACGGCTCGTTTCATTTTGGGCTTCGGGAAATTTGGTCTCAGTACTGGGGTGCAATTACTTGCCATGAAAGCTGTGTTGGGGACGGAGCAGTTCCTCAAGGATTATTGCATGGTGACACAAATGGGACTTCAGTGCGTAAAAAGCACTTTCTGCAACAGCCCCCAACCAAACAGAAAAGATCCTACAGTTTAAGTAAATCATCACATAAGACTTACGCTATTTTTTAAAAAATTGTTAACATCTTTAATACGTAAGATTGTCAAATTAGTTCTTAAAGAATCAACCTGGTGCGGGGTACATTTCTGTACCTAATGGGACTTTAAGGAGCAATACAATAACGGCAGCGGTGACTCAAAGCGCTTATGCCACAAAGATGTGCGCCCTCACTGGAAAAATATTGAGACTGGTGGAAAGTTTTCGACTGGGTTTGCGCATGCAATTCGAGGGCTTAATGGTGACACACTCTGTGCATGTGAATCACAAGTCGTCAGAGCCACTTTTGAGTTTTACACAGCATGGGGAAGAGGAAACTCAGCTCTTTGTTTTGAAATGTCACTTAATTTGACATTCAGATGAAAATGAATGGTTATTGAAATGTAGCGACCGTGGGCGTTGATCAAACTGACAAGTCTTACACGTGTATTTCATATAATGCCCTTAATTCTCAATTAAATCAGTTCACTTTGTCAATGGAGTTTGGTGTACAACAGAGGATTGCAAACATTGTTCAAACAGAGTCGGTCACAAACTTGGCAGAGTTCACAACGTTTATCATATTCATGAAAAATTAAGTGGATCGATTGGAATCCTCCAAATAAATCGCTTCACAGTGACCTGGGTCGCACCAATAGTTGCCAGAGTCAGAAGTTATCAACAAGTCCAATGTATTGTCGAAACTCCTTCCAATTTTGGTGAGAATTGAGGCAAAGCGACACGAAATACAATGGTAAGAAACGAATATCCGCTCCTACGAAGTGCAAAAACTCGAACCCTTAACACCCCATAATCCTTTGCGTGGCCACGCTTCTAATTCAAATGTAATACAAATCTTGCGCAAATAAGTGTGGGCAAGGTTAAACTATCAAAGGTGGGGCCAAAGGTCGAAAGTAAACGAGTGTAAACACGAATTAACATATAAGGACAAGATCTTGGAAATTACAGTTATCAAAAATGTTGAGGATTCCTATTAACTTCTTTCAAAAATCTTTTAACTCAAAAGTGGCTCTGGCAACTAGTGACTCACGTTCATAGAGCAAGTCACAATCTGAAGATCACACATTCAAATGGAAACTGGTCACGTATGCTCTGTGCATCCTGTGAAAAATGAGCGTGAACTTGGGTGCATACACTGTACATTCCTACCAAAGGACCAATGATTCTATGCCAAAAAACCTGTTGTTCCATCACAACTTTTCTCTACGCTTTTGTATTCCTTAACCATGCAAAAAAATTGAAATTACTTTGGGAGGGAAGCGGCTGTCTTCCTCTTTCCCACCCTCAACAACGCTCACCCTAAACCTCAGTCCAGACAGAAGCAACACTTATTTCAAGGCTAATTTGAACAAAGAATTGAGGTCTCCCAAAATTTCCTATCTATTTACTTCTTCTAAAGTCATCTCACAAATTAAGCTCAGATGACAGGAATATAACTTTGGAACAGTGCCAATTACTGATTCATCCTCGGCCTTGTTGGTCAATTCTATTTCCTTCTTGTGCTGATTCAAAGCTGTCATTTCTAGGGCAACTAACTTGTGCTACAATAAAAATTGGTTAAAAAATTGGAAGGAAAAATGTATGTACAAAGCATACCCCCTTGTAGGAGCGAGTCTGGTTTCAACCAAGGTCAACAGCTGCTAAAAATATCTTTACGTAAACTCTATACTGAAGAAAATTTCGAACACAGTTTTAAAAAGGCACTACTGGTTCCACGTTTAAAACTATAAATTTTGGTTATATAAACACTGACGCGGGTAAAGTATACATTCTGAATCTATTAGTCAATAGTGACTATTTCACCTTAAAATCAGCGGTACAGCGAGAAAGTTTATAGGACCCCGCCCACAACATGTACCCTCATTGACAAAGCCATGAATAACACTGTCTACACGATGGTGTTACGCCCAAAATCAGTCCCAACCACAGTTGGGCCCGTCCCAACTAGAGTGCTACAGTTGGGCCGGCCCAACTACAGCAGAGAGGTCCTGTGTGCATGATGTGCCCAGCTGAGGTCACCTGACATTTGTTCTGTGTGAGCACAGGGATGTCAGCAGTCACTCATCTCTCAGCACCTCTCACCATCTTGGCAGTTTTCTCAGAAAATAGTGTTTTTGATGTGCCCCCTGTCTTGAAGCACTTTTCAGCATATATATCATGCGTACAGCACACCTGTGTTGCACAAATGGTCTTGGGACCTACATGTGCAATCAGTTGGACACATTGTCACCTGTGGGGTTTTAAATCACAGCAGGGGTACGTCAACCACCCATAAGCATTCTCCATGTGCATGTACTGTACATGCTCTGCCAGCCAATAATCTGTGAAGGACTGTGTCAGCACACTCAAGCTGGGGTTAAACTGTTGATCCAAATCGGAAATTGCTGATTCAGGTCAAAAAAGGCAGGTGCATACCTATACCTCAGGGAGGCACTTCAGCTTAAATTTGTTTATGGCTCCGTGACATGGGACACCCAGACCAATGACAAGGACCCCCTGTGTCACCACAGCATCAGAGTATTAAGCAAAGATAGTATAGCACCGGCCCGCATACAATCTTTGGCATAAACCCTTCTCCCATTGGACAAAGCTAAGTGAGCCCTTATTCCTCAGAAGACGGGGTCGGGGTGAGGTCAAGGCTGCCTAGGTAGCCTTAGAGTTTAGACCCTTGCTGAAACTCAAGGTGAAGCTATCCACATTTCAGACACCTGGCTCTGCCAGTTTCCTGACAATGCTCGTGGGGGAGGTCTGGAGCAGTGTCAAACTTCAACTTGCCAAAGACAACAAACAAGAGGGAGTCACAGACGATTCTACTTAAGCCAGTTTGTTTTTTCACGCGGATCCTCTGGGATCACAAGAGACAAACTCTCAGGGGAAGTAGGGGGAATATCTGGTTAATGAGTGCTTCTGGACTGAACCTGTATGATGTTTTAATTTAAAACGATACCATTCAGAAGATTTGTTCGTATTATTTTCACCTGAAATCTTCAAAACTTTCCTCCCTTGTCCAGTATCTTTTAATTACCGTTCCCCCTGAATGATTTTTTGAGACCAAGATGTAGGTCAATCACTGAATAAGTAAACCTCTGCCCAAAGTTGAACTGCCAATTCCATTAACCTTTCTAATTTGGTGAACATGACCTTTCACCCCTGTTGTGTTCACAAGGTAGTAACAGGATTCACTATCAACAAAACATTTATATGTAATAATGTCTATTTTGCTTAGTTTCCAGGGTAAAATCTCACATGTCAAGGGTAAGATCTCATATTGACAGATCATTGGCCTCCAATCAAGGGCCTCTCTGGCAAAATTCATTCTCACGTTAACGTTTCCCTTTCTTTTAACTTTCAGAGTTCATGACCTTGGGCAGTTAACACTTGTGCAGATTACTGCAACTGTGATACAATGTAATGATAAAGTGCTAAATCAACAGCAACGTAACACTTCAACACTTTATCTATAAAAGCATTCCTGCACCTCTAAATCAAAATTTTCCGACTTTTTCTGTGACCGAACTGATACGAAAAATCCATGATATACTTCATCAACATGCAGACCATGTGATGTGTGCACCCTTGTTGGGTGAAAGTGCTGAACAGAAAGACAAAGCAAAGCAGACTGCCTGTATCAGTCGGTGCCCTCCCCCCCACAAAAAAAAGGAAAATCACAGGTTTTCCTTGTAGGATTTTCAGCATTCAATTCAACAGGGTTTCACATTGCAAACAAAATTTACCCCTAGAAAATTCTATGACTCTTCCATGACTTTAGAAATATTTGGAACCTTTCCACGTTTCACAGATTGGGTCAGTGACAATAAAATTCCATGACTTTTCTATAAAAAAACTTTCTGAAAAAGATTTTTTTTGGGGGGGGACACAAAAACCCTGACTGCACATTTGGCTGCTTTGACATGCAAAGCAGAAGTCTCTTGCATTGTGTCAGTGTATGGGAAAGTTTACTAGTGCGTCACGGTGTGATATTTAAGTAGGCCACGGCTGGAAGAACTTTGCAAGGAACTTTGGAACATGGGACAGTTCCTGTGTCTGGCATCTTACGCTTACTTATGTTTCAGGACAACTTGGCGTTGTTGCAACTGCCCCATATGATAGAGGAATAAAAATGCACTCAACCACAACTAAGCTCGGTTTCCTCTAGCCAATTTTTCTTTTTAACAAACATCACGGGCCCGGGATCATTTATGTACGGTGCAAAGGAGAGGCCGAGAACAATGCACTCGAAATCAGCTGATGAAGTGGTGAGATTATCTGAATACAATGCAAGCAAACGACCAGCTGGTTCACTTCACAGGTACACAACTCCAAAGTGCACATGTGCTGTTCAGCGTTAATATGGTCGTTTGCCCGAGAATTCAGTCTGGGTTTTTGCTCAAAGACAGGAATAGGAAGAGTGGTGCTATCGGCTGATGTCGTTATTAATGCCTGAACACAGGATGTTTGAGCCCTAATTTTGACAACTGTTTGTAACACAAACGCTTCAGGGCTATTGCTTAATAACATGGAGAAATTAATCAAAAAATAATGCTGAGCAGAAACACGGACTCTGTTCCATTAGATATGATAATCATAAGGCAAATGAAGTAGAATTAATGTATAACCCGACCCACCCCTTATCGACAAATCATACAACTAGCAGATTTGGTATGCCTCACAATTTTTTAGAAAATTTACAGGGCTACCTTGGTATAAGGAAAATTGCATTTTCATGAAATAAATGAGACCATTGCTACTTCATCTGGTTAAAGACTTAATTGAGAGAGAGAGATGAACTGAAAATATTAAGTACAAGTAACTAAATTCATCCAACTATCTCCAAGGAAATCTCTCATTAACAGCATGATAAAAACAAGGGAGTTGAAACGTTGCCAAGGGCTGGCAGTCAACACTCATTATTACCGGATTACATGTTGATCTAATGCCCCATGGGGAAAAATAAAACACCCCTCTGTGTCACTTTGATGCTGAAAACGAATACAGCCACTAATGACCAACTCAAACTGCAAATGCACTAGGTGAATGTACCACAAGTAGATAGAAATGCTGGCATGGAAAGACCAGGAAAGAGGGGGGAGGAAAAACATGGACAGAA